TGACACAGTGATTTTTCCATATCTATGTGACATCTTTGTGTGTGCATACAATGTGTGATGCCCAAATCAGGTAACTATCAGATTCATTACCTCATATATTTATCATTTCTTTTTGTTAAGAACACCTAAAATCTCTATTATATATTTTGAAATACATATTTTATTATTAACCGTAGTTATCTAACGTGCTGTTGAATTTTAGATGTTACTCTTCTCAGTCAGCTGCATCGTGTCCCGATGGGCCATTCTCTTTTCTTCCCTGCACTCTAGTTAGGCACTGGTAACCCGTCCTCTACTCTACTTTATGAGATCGACTTTTTAAATTTCCACGGATAAATCAGAACATGTGGTGTTTGTCTTTTCTGTACTTGACTTTTTTCATTTCTATGTAACACCCTACAATTTTGTTTGTATAATTTCAAATGGAAGGATTCTAATCTTTTACGGCTGATTGTTATTTCATGTTATGTACATACCACATTTTATTTTTCCATTAATCTGCAAAATATCTTGTCTAATGAGTGGCCCATTTCTTAATCAGAGAATTTGATAGTTTTAGGATTGAGTTGAGTTTTTTTGTAGTCTTGGTCTTAATCTCTTGACAATGAGTATTTCGCACATTTCCTCCCCTTCCGTGGGTTGTCTCTTCCCTCGGTTGTTTCCTTTGCTGGATAGTTTTTAATTCAACATAACTGCGTATCTTCTCTACGCTCTTGGCACCATATACAAAAGTTCTTTGCGAAGACCAACATCCTGAAGTGTGTGCTCTATGTTTTCTTCCGTCTCCTGGTCTTGTATTTATGCCTTTAATTCACTTCAAGTTGATGTTTAATAAGGCAGGAAGGAGACGTCCAGTTTTGCTCTTCTGCTCATAGCTATCCAGCATCCACAGCACCATTAATTGATGAGTCTCTCCTGTCAAACTAAACTGGCTGCAAATATGCACATTTATTTCTAGGTTCTCCACTCTGTGCCATTGTTTTAGGCAGTTGTTTATGCTAGCACTGTGCTGTTTTGGTTACAGTCGTAAATTTACGGATAATCATTATTTCTGTTTTGATTTTGATGTACCGTGACCTTACTTGGCCTGTACAACTATTTTAGAATAGCTCAGTATATGGGAACCATCTGTCAAAAGTACTCAGAAGCACAAAGAAACAGAAAAGGTAGATCTAAGACTGCACAAATTACAACTTTGGGGCTTAAGGATAGACAACTATCTTGAGCAGCAGCAGGATAGAGGATTCCCACACTCAAAGGAGAGAGGAAGGGTTCCTATGTTAAGCTAGACAAAGATGGGCCTAGGCCAGCCAGTGTGTGTCCAGGCTTTCTGTTAAAAATATCAAAGTCAAGTGTCAGTTAAGAGATAGTCTGGGCATCAGTGGCCAGCAGGAAATGTTTGGCTGTTTTAATGACTGTTTATTTTTCTACAGTGGTTGTAATGTGGACCAGGGTAACCTGGGTGGCAGAGTAATGTCTAGGACCAAAATGGCTGAGAGGGCTTTTTTGATGACAGAAGTATTAAGAACCATCCATTCTAACATTTTTGCCTCTGGATCTGTTTGATGAGGAAATTAGTACTTAGGTCATTTAGCCAAGCCTTGTCAGATATGCAGGCCGAGTGACTGTGAACCACTGCTAGGTGGATCAAACAAGGTTTTCCAGTCCTGCCTTCCTAGTCATTTGATTCCATAGATCTGAGACATGGCCCTTAAATCTACCCTACCATCTATCTATCATCTATCTATTTATCTATCTATCTATCTATCTATCTATCTATCTATCTATCTATCTATCATCTATCTATCATCTATCTATCTACCTATCATCTATCTATCATCTGTCTAGCATACATCTATATCTATCATCCATCTATCATCTATCTCTATCTATCATCTATCTATCTATCATCTATCTATCTATCATCTATCTATCTATCATCTATCGATTATCTAGCTAGCTAGCTATCTTACATCTATTTGTCGATCATCTATCAATTGTAATACACCTCCTAGTAATTTTGATGGGAGAGGATGGGCACAGTGATGGAGAAAATTCCTGGGGATGATTCCTGTCTCACAAATCCAACTATCAGAATGCAGCAAAGGGTGGTGAAGTGTTCTGACACACAAAAGGCAACACATTCCCCAGGAACTCTGGATTCCCCCATATGCTGCAGAAGCTGCTGGGGACAGCCTAGGGACAGTAGGGTAAAGGGAATTTGTGGGCGGTCACTATGAGAGACAAAACCTTATCAAATTCCAGAGCCCTGTGAGGTTTCTTTTCAAATGAGTGTATCAGAGTGAACATGAGATAGGATTGAAAGCTGAAAAGATACAAGACACCAGGAGAAAATTATAGGCCCATCTTGTAGGAACAAGATATGCAACAAAGATGATTAATTTATAAATAGCAGATTCTTTGGTTTGAGATAGAGGGAAAGCAGGTGAAATTATCTTTCCCATGGGAAATCTGTAGGAATCTGTTGCAGCTTTTGATGATTAATGCATGATCTCACTTCTGAAACAGTAGCAGTAACAGTAACCTACCATCCAGAAATGGAAGAATAAAGCTTTTAATCCATGTATATTTAACTGTGATTCAGATCTGTATGAGAACTGATAGACCCTTTTCACTTACATTATGATGAGAATAGTGACCTATATTTTGAAACACCTCCTGGCAATTTTCCTTTGTTCTAGAATTTCATTGGAAATATATATATATAAAACATTAGTATATATAACAATATACTATATATAATATTAATTAGGTCATACTTTTAAAATTAAAAACAAGAATAAACTATTGTCTAGCCTGATGAGACTATTGTCTCAAAGATCTGTTATGGTATCTGGAAATGTATCTGACTTTGAAATGAAATCATTTCCAGGAAATTCCAGATCACTGTTCAAAATATGTATCACAGGTTAATCATTCTTTTTAGACTATACACGACTATGCAATTAAATGAAGAGAAAAATCAAAACTATACCCTTATGAATGATCTTGAAATCAACAATTTTGCTCCAGAAAAACTCTTGAGGGCCTGGAGAGATGGTTCAGAAGTTAGGGGTACTGGCTGCTCCTGCAGAGGACCTGGGTTCACTACCACATGGGAGCTCACAATTGTCCATAACTCCAGCTCCAGGGCATCTGACGCCCTCTTCTGGCCTCCACAGGTATTTCACAACCTGGGTGCACTTACATACATGAAGACAAGACACTCATACACATAAATAAAAATAAGTAAAATTACAGCAACAGCAAAAAACAACTCCTAGAGTCAAGATTTACAGCATTTAACTCTTTTTATGTAGGGACACTGACAAACATTTTCAAAACATTCTAAAAATATTTGCTCTGATAACATGTCTTCAAATGGTATATCAGTTAGCAAGGCATGGTGGCACATGCCTTTAATCCCAGAACTCAGGAGGCAGAGGCAAGTGAATCTCTGTGAGATGGAGACCAGCCTGGTCTACATATTAAGTTCTAGGCCACCTGGGTCTACAGAGAGACTCTGTCTCAAACAAAGAAAACAAACAAAAATAGAAAACAATATAAAGCATCAGGTCCAGGGAGATGTCACATCAGTTAGGAACACTTTCAGAGCAACCACGAGAACTGGAGTTCCAATGCCAGCCTCCTCTTAACAAGCCAGGTGTGTGATCCCACACCTGCTGTAATTCCAGCACTGGGGGGTAGATAGCAGGTTGCTGGGCTTGCTGGCTTCCAGCCTAGCTGAGAAAAATCACAAGCTCGAGGTTCAGGGAGAGGTTCTGCCTCAAAAGAATGAGGTGGAAAGTGATAGAGGAGAATGCCCAATACCTTCCTCTGGTCTCCACATGTGCACACAGATGCACGCACACCCAAACCATGTGCACATACACCACATATACATAAGTATATACACATACACACAATAAATGTGTAAAATGAAAAAATATTCATTTTAAGAGAATAAACTTTTTTATTACTCTCATAAAATGCATATCAGCAAATCAACAGCCTGAATATTACTAGTTTAAATAAATGACAAAATAAAAAGGCACAGTGCTTGTACTTCTTCATGTAGGTTCCAAGTTATGGGAATTGATAATATATTTTCACAAGGAGATGGGGAAGAGCTATTCTGCATGTGGAGGTTGAGACTTAGTCCTTATACTGTGGTTCACACAAACTCTTTCTAAATATTAAAATATTTCCAAATTAACAATTCAGCACTGTTACCCCAGGTCCTTTACCTCAGGCTCCAAACCTGTATGTGATTCTGCAACCTTCATAACAGGGTGTCCTAGAACTTGTTCCTGTACTGTGGCTTATGCCAGTCTGGTTGATAATATTTAAATATCACCCTGTTCATGTATGAGCCTGTAAAGAATGAAGCAAGAAATGGTTCTTATTTGAAAAAGAAAAGAAAACTGAGATGATGCTGATCCAGAAAACAAGTATCTCTGTAAGTCCAGGGAAAATTCTAAGACCTGAAAAGTCAGAACACCAGCTCTAATGGCATCAGACAATTACTTGAAGAAAGTTCTGTGGAGCAAGTTCATTTGTAGGATTGTCTAAGTACACAGTCAATTTTCAGTTGGTTCTTGGCTTGAGTACTATAGAGGACCATCTTCTTTTTACACGTGGGTTTGCAATAAGTCCCTCACTTCTTGGTAAACTTAGGAACACCAGATTAGTCCAAGTCTTCAGTCTTCACTAGGGAAGCTGTCTTCTCACAAATCCAAGAAATTTCAGCACTGCAGTGAGAAATGTAAATATTCCCTCTTTCAAAATCAGCACATCCTGCTGATCCAGTCATCTGGTCACGTTCCTTATTACTAAGTCTAAAAAGCAATTGATTTTAAATGAATTATATGAATCATTTTAATCATCTTTGATATCAATCATCGATATTTAATCATCATTCAGTGTTCCCAGCATTATAGGAACATATAATGCTTGTGATACCTCTTCCTCTACAAAGCACCAAAACCAGTAAAGCCAGTACATCTAAGCTTTTTATTCCAAGCTAATTCTGATTCCAGGGAAAAAAATGTCACCAACACACCAGTTGGTTACCTCCTTGAGCCCAGCCTGACTCCATGTGGCACCTGGACTTCTGTCAGGGAGACTGAATCTCTTTCCAAGGGTGCCTTATAGAAGGCACAGAAGCTGGGGGGACAATTTGGCAAGACATGTTTATGTTGTTGACTTCTAGTTCATCATAACATTAAATAGTTGCAACAGTACAATTTCCTAAGTGTTGTACATTTGATGTATACTGTCAACATTGTCATCAAAAGTCTGTAGTGGTATTAGAATTGACTTAAGACCTTTGCCACATAGGTAATTGATGAATCTTAGTCATGAAGCTAATCAGTGAATGAATCTGTCATCTCAGACATACTTTTTGTTAGAAAAAAAGTCAAGTTATTTATTATGAATAAGTGTTTTAATGTGTCAATATGTGTCCTTATGACAAATACCACCCTTGTGGATTGTAATTGCTGGAAAAAAAATAGCTGATGACTGAACAGGTGACCTCAACTGATCAGCTTTGATTTGATCCCTTTTTAGCTGGGCAAACTTGGATAAATCATTTAATCTTTCTGTGCTAATATTTTTAGCTATATAGTGGGGATATTAAAGTACTTCCTTCAAGGCTTTATATTTACAAAGTACTTTTAACTTACTAAAATTTATGTATACATTCTTAATAAGGAAAACAACTAAGAGATGAAGTTCGGTGCCTTGCTGTGGCTGTCAAATAGATGGAATTAGTTACCTGTCCTCATCATGTTTTCTACTGAAATTCTTTAAAAAATATTATAATTATTTTTGTATCTAGGTTTACAGTTCTTATGATTTGCATTGATTTTCTCGGAATTCTATGGAACTATTTTAAGAGATTTATTTATTTTATGTGTATGTGTGTGCCTGAGTGTACGCATGTGCACCACATATGTGCAGAAGACCACAGAGATTAGAAGAAGGCTTCGGATCCCCTGGAACTGAAGTTGTAGATAGTTGAGTGATGCTCTGGGGGTGCTGGGAACCGAATCCAGGTCCTCCACAAGAGCAGCCAGTGCTCATAACTGATGAGCCATCTTTCCAACCACTCCATGGAAATCTTGATCTGCTACCGCAGTAGTAAGAGATTACAAGGATGGAGAGAGAACTGAACCATCTTCCCACAACCAATTTCTGTCAGATTGGTTCCAAGATAATCCCAGCCAAAAGAAAGAAAATGTGGGTAAAAGCTGTGATTGGAGGAAATCCTGAGAGCGAGAGAAAGAAAAAGGTGAGAGGGCCACCTGGCATTTTGCAGAGGTAAGAAAGAAAAGAACACTGATTAAATTCATATATTGTCTGTGATGTAGCTCAGTGGTCGATCACCTGCCTAGCATGGGCAAGGTCCATCCAGGCTTCTATTCCCAGTACCTCATTCATTTCAATAATGATTCTCACTCAAAATCCACCAATTTCCTATCCTATAAATAAAAATACCTTGTTTGTTTTTCATTTCATGGGTAAAATCAACAGCCCAGGAGATCCTGTCATACCTTTTCTCGAATGCTGTCAATCTTCACCATGGTGGCATTCCTGTCTGCACAATCCTTTCTACTGTCTCTCCACGTTTTCTCTTCATTGATCGTGAAATAATAGCAACTATTTTCATGCCATTGCCATGACTTGGGACAAGGATTGCACTTATGGTCTGAAAAGGGAATTATACTCAAAAGTACAGCCTATAGGTGGAACACAGATCTGAGAGTCAGTGCCCTGAAAATAGACTGTGTTAGGACCCTCTGGAAACAGAGTCAGCTCAGTTATGAGCTGGGCAATGGGGACAGTCTTTGCAAATCCAGCTATGCATTCTTCGGCTCATAATAACCAGATCACCTAGAAGGAGCTAATCAAGTGAGAGGTGGAAGTGTTCAAGATGATAACATTTGAAAATGATTATAAAATTCATCACTGTGTTTTCATAAATATGGACTCAACCTTCATTTCCTTGTATTCTATAGATTTAATGTGGTGTGATATGATATTACCACGCCACATTACAGCTTATACCTGAATAAAACAGTTTAATTCTTAGCTTTAGTTTTAAGAATGGGCCCAAACTCAGATGGCATTCATTCCCCTCGAACATGCTGTTGGAGTAGTCCTCACTCCTAATTTTATTCAAATCCATTTCTCCAGCTTCTCCGTCTCGGATTCACCCTTGTCTTATCAACCTTGGCCTTTCATCTAGACCATCTCATACACACACTGTCAAGGTTTCTCCCAGTCTTCATTGTTGTCCATGAAAATGCATTCACTGCTGTCCAGTGCTTTGACATGTTAATTCTCAAGCACACCCACATTCATTCATTATCTTTAGTTGAGCAGCAAATTGAGGTTTCCAGGAATCAAGGTCAGGTACCCAGGTCTCAAGAGCACATGGTTCAGTGACTTAGCAAGGTTAAGAGTCATTAGTCCAGATTTTTGTCTGTTTTATAAGTCATTCCTACAGTGTGATCAGGGGCTGCTGAAGGACATAATTCCAAGGTGCCTTGATGCGCGAGGGAACTTAAATCAGGGTGGCAGATTGTATCTGCCCTTTTATCAGATCTAAGTCATATTACCTGAAGTGTGGATGAGGAGCTCCTTGCAGAGTTTGGTAGCCATCTGGCCCTGCTTCTGTAGGAGTTTGGATATCTGGGATTGGAGATCATCATCAGTGGAAATCTTCTTGGAGTTTTTCAGTTGCTGGGACAGATTATCCTGCCGCTGGTGGATAACTTTCTGAAGTTGATTCAAGTTCTCTGAATCTGAATTAATGTCATTATACATCTGCAAAACTGCAAAATGTAATGAGACAAGTACATATACCCTTCCATTCTTGCAAGGGCCATCTCAAAGCAGTCTCTCTCTCTCTCTCTCTCTCTCTCTCTCTCTCTCTCTCTCTCTCTCTCTCCTCTCCCCTCTCCCCCATCTCTCAAAGTGGGGTTTCTCTCTCTCTCTCTCCCTCTCTCCTCTCTCCTCTCTCCTCTCTCCCCTCTCTCTCCCTCTCCATGTCTTCTTGCCATGAGGAACTGTATTCCTTCTCAAATCACAAACTAAATAAACCTTCACTTCCTTAAGTAAAAGTATTTGTCAAATCAATGAGAAAAATGAAAACCAACAATGCTGTATCTTTCAACAAATAAACTTACGACTGAAGTTATTCTAAGAGTGGATACTAGTCAAATCAGTATGTTCGTTATATCATATACTTAACATTTTATGAAATACATATCCTAAGGATGTTTTTGTGCTTGCCGTCAATACAGAGTGCTCTACTCTGTCCATTGCCAATTGCACCTTGAATGAGTTTGGAGCTGCCGCAGAGTGGAGCTTCCATTGTGATGCAGAGATGGTTCAGTTCTGCATTGGGTGCAGCATAACCTCCAGTACTCTGTGTGCCTTCCTTGGTCATTCTACTCAGGTTGTTGCTGCCACACAAATGCTTTCTCTATACCAGGAAGGTCATGGATAAGCAGAATAAGTTATTTTTCTGCTAAGGCAATTGAACCTTCAAACCCTTTCCCAAATACGTCTCTCTTACTGCCTGGTGTGACTTAGTTCATCAAAAGGCAGCAGTGAAGATGGGCAAAGTTCCTGTGATAATGAAGTATAACCCTTGCCATTTTGTTTTGAAGGCATGGAGAATGGGATAGATCTGAGGGAGCAGAAGTGACTAGAGGATTCTGGATGTTACCACCATCATCTATAATCCTTCTGGCATTTGCATAGTTTACAAGAGTTTAATAATCAAATTTCTTGTGTTTACTGCAAGCATACTTACACATAATCCCCAAGGTTACCAGCCCCATCAGCAGTATCAGGCAGAGGGTCAGCAGGCTCACGGCAACTGTTCGCCATATAGGGGATGCAACTGGGTGTCCTGGAAAACCAACAGAGGACTGTCCAGCCAGAACTGCCTCAGGCTGTTATAGGTAGGGTTGTTTCTCCCACTCTGGAAGTTTCCAGACACTAATATTTCTCCCTTGTTTCTTCAGCATCACTATTCAGACAATTTTCAATACGAAGCTCAGTAGGTTCCCTTCCCAGCTTTCCATTTCCCGCCACTGGCCCTCCTTTTGAGGGTGAGTGTCTGCCCCCGCCTGCGGGGACCCTGTACAGGTAAAGCTCGAGGGGGACCACTCCCTGAAAGGAAAAACGGGCGAGAAAGAGTAGACGGAGCCCAAGCAAGTCCACTTGTCAAGGGTTCACTTTATTGAACTGTAAGCTTTCCTTATATACAGTTTGTATTTAGAAGGGGTTGAAGAAGTTGGTCAAAGGTTACAGCATTCTTATGGGTATGGGATGGGGAACTGAGCAATTCAGCAATGTGACTGACCACCAGGTGTTCCAAGAGATTACTGCATGACTTATCTTTTCCGAGAACTGTTTGCAAGGGGAAGAGAAAGATAACCTTGCCATAAATTCTTTCTCAAGGTTACTAGTGCAGGCAGAATGTCCTGCTTAAGTCAACTGTTTGTAGAGCCATATTATATTTTTTGGTAATGAATGTTGTTTCTCCAGCTCCCGACAAGTGTCTCCTGATTTTCAGACTTTTGTTTCACATCAGCACCCACCTTTTTTCCTTAAGCTGGCTGATTTCATGAATGAGGTATGGAAACTTTCTCTGGAAGGATGCTAACAATAGGAGAGGCCCCAATTTTAAGACACAAATCTCCAACAGGCGTACTCCTCTACCTTCCTCATAAAAGTGGATTAGACTTTTAAAATAAAGTTAATCTGCAAAAAATAGCTTTAATTCATTATCATTTATTCTACTTACTGAGTAATGAACTAATCTTGAATGAAAAAAATGTAAAGTCTAACCTACAAACAGCAGAACAGAGTAGGAAGCTAGTAGATAACTTTTTGAACTTTAACATTTCTTCTTTATTTGAAATACAAATGTCTATCATAAAAATATCTGTTGCCTTCCTCTTCTTTGATTTGGGTCATACTGGTATCTAGCCTGATGCATTTGCTAGATTAGCATTGTTTCTGGGTACAGTATTACACATAGCATATCTACACCTCCATTATTCTCAGTGGTTAGAGTGAGAGTTCAAAACAGAACAAGCCATACAATCATCTTTAGTAGACACATGTAAACCCTATTCTCATTATCTTTTTGTGTATCTTTCCCCCAAAGTTTCTCTCTCTCTCTCTCTCTCTCTCTCTCTCTCTCTCTCTCTCTTTCTCTCTCTCTCCAAATCTGAAGAGCAGGAGAAAGTAGTTTATATGATTCAGGACAACAAACAGAACTATAAGGAAACTTTTGAAGTTAAGGAGATAGACTTATACTATCTCACTTACATTAAAGCGTGTCTGGCCATGGTCACATGGCATTTCTGCTAACTGGACATGCTGGCATGGGAACCAACACTGGTTCCATGTGTGCCACTTGTATAAACTAACTTAAACCACTTAATGTCTTTCAGAGTCAATGTTTTGATCTGTGCAATGGAAAAAAATGGTAATATTATTTCATTTATTTTACAATTACATTTTGATAGACATAATATGTACATTATACAGGGATTATTATTGATAAATATTATGAATTACACTTGGGATTTCAGCTACCTTAAATTTTTTAAGAATTATAAAAGAAGAGCTAGCCCATGTTCGTTTCTGACCTCCCACACTCAAAATTTTCCCTTAAGTTACTTGTACCACATATTAGCAAAGATTCCTCCACTTTTTAAAGAATCCTTCTGGCCTCTTGAAGAATATTCCTCTGACATCTCTAACAAGGTATAAGCATCAAGGATGTCTGTAAATAAACATCTCCCAATCTCCAAACCCCATCTCTGACATAGCCAATCAAAAATATTTCATTTTGAGGCAGCGAGTCATGGCATAGTAACAGCACATAATTTACACCGGTCTCCAGAGCCATATATTTTCTCCTCAGTTTTAAGGACACTCGCTCTGCTAATGTAGCCCAGGACCCTTTGTCTCTTCTTTGGAGATTCCTTTGCGCACTCATACTTCGGTCATTTAGTATCAAAGCCAGGATCTCAGAGCTCTTAACACCTGTCATTTCCAAGGTTACAGATCACTTTCTCTGAATGCCTACCTCTTTTTCTTAGGTTTTCTCCATTCTGGTTATGTCTTGCTCCAGTAGAATCTTGAAACATAAGTGTTGCATAGGTCACTTGGTCAGACGTTTTAGGAGAAAGCACTGCTATAAATTACGCAATTTATGCTGCAGTATCTTCAGGCCTGGTTCAGGGAGTTCCTTTCAAGGCTGGGAGTTTTTACAAAGACAAATAACTAGCACAAGACACTCCCCAGAGGTTGCTCCTTTGTGAGGACAGAATGAAAACCAGTTCCTCCGTACTGAAAGAGACAGAGATTAAGAACTCTCTTTAGGAATGAGAATATTGCTGATTTCAGACTGAAGCTCATTGTTCCTTTTAAGCCAAGACTTTGTGTTTGGAGGCAAGCAGGAGAGAGCTTTGTGTTGGAATTCCCATGATCCTCAGAGCTCTGAAGTTTAAAACAATCAAGTTCTCTGCTTTGCATGTGTCTAAGGCTAGCTAATCCTATAGGAATCTACTTTGTCCTCAGCCATACCAGATACCAAGCAGAGAGGGCATAGGAAGAGCTGTGTCACATTTGCCTGGCTAGTGCAACGAGCTACCCATCAACCGTGTGTGTGTGTGTGTGTGTGTGTGTGTGTGTGAGAGAGAGAGAGAGAGAGAGAGAGAGAGACAGAGAGAGACAGAGACAAAGAGAGAGACAGAGAAAGACAGAGATAGAGACAAGACAGAGACACACAGAGATGCAGAGACAGTGAGAGGGAGACAGAGAATTGGCAGTGGGGGAGAGATGAGGCATGGAGAAACATTAGGAGGTGTTTCAATTAAGTATGAGAGAGAATTTCCTTTTTGCATGGTTATGTAAACATCCAGAACAAGACATTTTAAACAATACCTTGAAGCTTTGGGAGAGTGAGGAAGAGCAGGTACGTTCCAGAGCTAAGGAGACAGAGGCATGCTAATGCCTCTATTTTAGTTATAAAGTTTGGTTATAAAGTTTGGTTATAAAGGCCATAGAAGCCACAGGGGTCTTAAAAGACTGTATCTATTTCTAATTCCTCCATATCTTTTTAAAATATGAAACTTACTACACTATATGAGAAAGCAAATCCTTGTTAAGAATCTGTGATAGGTAGAGCAGCCCCTAAGGATGTCCATCGCTCAGTTCTCAGGCCTTCTGACTATGGCAACTTATATGGTAAATGGAGGAAATTATGCTGGATTACCTGAATATACTTAATGTAATCATGAATCCTTAAACATCTTCAATTCTGGAGAAGTTTTCTTAGATAAGCAGTGACTTTTATGACAATAGTAACTAATGATCAGAGCCACTACATTGTTGGTTGATGGTGGAGGAAGGCAACTAGAACTCAAATGTAGGATAAAAAATAGAAAGGCATAGAAACCATTCTTCCTTAGAGCTTTCAAAATGGAGCATATACCTGCCTACAACCTTGATCTTTGCCCAACAAGACCCAAGTTGGACTTTAAACCTATAGAGTTATAATTCATTTTTGTTTTAACTGTTAAATATGTTGTCATTGTTATTAGTAGGAAACTAACAGAGAACCCAAGAAGATGTTTTCTTTCCAGGGCTAAGGATGGAACTTCGGGGCTTTGAGCTCCATGCATGAGCTGTACCATTGAGGTGCTCCTCCAGCCCTTCAGACCTGAGCAAAGGGACTCTCTCTTAAGCTCTCTTTTGGGATGAGACAAGAAGAGATTTTGTAACTATAGTTTAAAGAAGATTTGTTGTGAGTTTTAAGTTTTCAGGTGACTGGGGAGTGATCTCAAGCATTCCAGGGTCCACCTCTGTGTAAAATGAGCTTAGTCAAAGGTCTCTACAATGAAACACACCCAGGACATTCAAGAAGACAAGTTAATAATGAATAATTCCTTGGTAACATTTGTGTATAATTTCCAGACATTAATAGTCTTACATTTTTGTTCCTGTCCCCCACCCAAATTAATGGAGTGCTCAATTAGAGTGTTTGGAGGCTCCAAACTGTACTTTGGGGTTGGGGAGAAAATTCAGTCTATAAAGTGTTTGCAACACAAGAATGAAGGCCTGAATTTGATCCTCAGACCCACATAAAACCCAGGTGTGGTGGTATGCACTTGAAATCCCAACACTGGGGAAGTGGAGACAGGGGAATCCCTACTAGATGAGTCCCAGGTGCCAGTTGGAGACACTGTCTCAAAAATAAGGTGGACAGCAGTCCTGAGAGGCAACACCCAAGGTTGCTGTCTAGCATAAACACACACACACACACACATACACACACACACACACACACACAAAACTTGGCTTAGACCATGTACCCTCTCCAACCCACTCACCTTTACTCCTGCCTAAGAGTGGTTGAATGTGACCATATTAACTGGTCTTGTTTCAGACTTTGGGGAATTTTACTTTCCCAACACTTTTACTAATCAATATTATTTTGCCAACATCCTTTTGCTAACTTGGTTCTCAGTTGGTGGTGCTATTTGGGAAGGTTGTGAACCTTTAAGAGGTGGAGTGTTGCTGGAGGAAGCATGCCATTGGGGGAAGGTTTTGAGGCCAGTTCCTGCCTCCTGTGTGCAGATGAAATATAATGGTCCAAATTCCTACTCTGCCTGCTCTGCTTTCCCTGCCTCCTGCCAGTTCTTCCCCACCATGATAAGATTCTATCCCTATGAACTGTAAGCCAAAATAAACCCTCTCTCCCCTATGTTGCTTTTGGTCAGGGTGTTTTTATCACAGCTCCTGAAAGAACTAGAAGACATCCTCAACTGGTTTCAAAGTGCTGGATCCTAGCATTCATTTCTTGGCCCTCTTTGGCTGTTATACCCACTCCAAGATGAGCTCTTCTAGACTGATTACTGTTAAGGTTCAAATAGACCCCCCTCACCAGCAGGGTCTCAAGGACTTCTTAAGCTCCTGAGAAAAGGGAACTGAGCTGATAAGCACCCTGGTCTTTGAAGTCAAGAGAAGCAGACTTTTCTTCACTGTTTGCAACACAGCAGGCTTCCCCTTTGATCTCTAAAGAGAACAGGTTTTAACAGCCCCACTGCCACCCCCCCAACTTTAAAAACAACATATATCTTCCTGCCTTCTGCACCCCCCAGAAAGCTCTCCCTTAAAAAGACCCCAGCTCACGACCCAGGGCAGACATTTTCCCTGCCTGGAAGGGACTCTGTCCCATGTGTTCCTTTGCTAATAAATTCTATTCCTATGGAGTTTTATCTGTGTCCTGGTCAACCCTATTCGTTGTATGGCTACTTTTTACCTATCAGTTACTTGAAGGAACAACTGTACATTGACCGTGTCATACAGCCTATCTCTAAGTCCATTGCTTTGCAAGGCCACGAATGTAATGGAATTCTTGGCATATTTATCTAGATATATTATAAGAAAAATAATTGGCCCTTCTTAATGTGTCTCTTCATCTCAATAAACAAGAGCTCCATGTTCACAAATCCTCAGCCAAAACACCCATGGCCCCACAGAGAGCCCTTCTTAAACTAAGTGGGTCACAAAACAAAACAAAAAGATGTGAATTTAGGAAAGGGATCTGTAGGGAAGATGTGGAGGTTGACAGCATTGGAAAAGATATAAGGGGAAGGTGTGGGTTTGATTGATTAGGTTGCACTATATACATATGTGAAATTGTCAAAGAACAAATTTAATTAAAAGTTTGACACTTTTAGTGTTTTTCAATTCCAAAAAAAACTTGGAATTATCTTTGACTCACCTCACTTCTGTTATATGAATTAAATCTATCAGAAAGTGCTAAAGTGCTAGTCACTGTATAAAATAAGAGAACACAAGTGTCAGTATAGAAATTGATTTATAATACAGTACAAGAAATGTTGAGCTCATATGATAGGAGGCTGCACCTTCACCCTGTGCTGACACAATCACTCTACTCCTTCTCCATACTGAGTCTCCGTCAGAGAACACTACAGAAAATAGCATAGATTTCCTAGATTGACTATAACCCAGAGAGTGATCATAGAGGAAATGAATTCAGAATTATGAAAGGGAAAAAACAAAGATTAAATCCAGAGGCCCCAAAGACTGAAAGGGAATGAAAATGAATAAAGTGAAAATAGCCACAAGGAGGGGACAGAGGATCCGTGTACAATGGAATTTATTCGGAAAAGTTTATTCACTCAATAAGGAGTGTAAGATAACTTGATTTAAATAAAGGATTGTCAAGGTATACTGATAGACTCAGATCCTGAATCAAACTTAATGTCCTGTTGCCTTTTATAAGTTAATTAATCTCTTAACTGTGTACATTTTATTTTTTTATTTTTGAAACAAGATCTCCCTGTGTAGCCCAGACAGGATTCAAACTCATTATCCTCCTGCCCAGTCTCTGCAGTGTTGGAATTTCAGGAACTTACTACCTGAGCCTGGCTATTTTTCTTATTAGCAAAATTTGCATAAGTACAATTCCTACCACAAAGATAGTTGCTAAAAGCCTGTAGAAGCAGCTGTTGTTTTATTATAGTGTAAATAAGTTTGATTTATACTAGATGATCCTTAAAATGGAAGAAACTTGTGCACTTGTTGAAGTGCTGTGAAGCACGAATAAACCCACCCAGTTACATTGTATTACAGTGATGTTTTCTTTCATAGCACTGAATGTGAGTGTTAGGAATGTAGCATATGTATGTGCTGTCGTGAGTGTCTATGAGGGTTGTGGTTGAATGTGTGTACATGTGGAGGGCCCAAGTTTGACACCCAATGCCTTCCTCAATAGCCCCAACCTTATTTATTGAGGTATTGATCTATTTGACAGATCTTGGAGCTCACAGATTGACTAGGCTGACTGGTCAATGAAATTCTCTAGGGATCTGCCTGACTTACACACACACACACACACACACACACACACACACACACACACACACACACAGAGGCACTTTACTCACTGAGCCATCTCCCTAAGCCCTTTCACAGCACTTATGATGAGACATTATCAGGCTCTTCGCTTGATTTCTCTGTTTTTTTATTTTCTGTGATCACTACCCTCCACTAAGATTATAGCTCATGTGTTCCATTAACCGTTTGATCTCCAGAAAATGGAATAGTGCCTGGGGTAGTCACAGTGATGGACACAAAAATATAGGTTTGAATAATTGATTAACCATCACTACCATGAAAGTTTCATAGGGATTTAACAGGAGATACACTTTATAAACCAACCCAATATGGCATGAAGCCTCATTTCAAACGTGCTCGGCCAGCTGACCTTTTCCTCAATTGCCCCACGCTTTCTCAGACTCCATATCTTTGTTCATTGTTTCCCTGCCTGATAATCGCTCCCCCATTTCTTCCTTTCTTATGCATTTTCCAGCTTTCCTTGGAATCTTGATTTATCTCATCTGATTGTCACTTAATCTTTTGGTTACATAGTTTTTTTTTTAATGCATGTGCCCAATAACCTTAGTGTAACTGGTGCAGTCCGACACATTTTCTTCTTCGTCTTGTCTATTACATTAACACAATGTTCTACCTTAGTTGCCCGATAATTAGTGCAAAAATAAATACCTTTTAAGTAAAGCTTGTTTCAGTTTAAGTCCATGTTTAAGATTTCTGAAAATGAAAGAATGAATGTTAATTATGTTGTTTTTCCTACAACAGGAAATATCGCCCTTTCCCAAAGATTATCACCATTTCCTATGTGTGTGCAAAATTAGTAAGCCAAAGATGAACCAACAATTTTAATGCAGAAGTCTAAGAAGGGGAATGGGAAATCACTAGCCAAATCACTTTAGTTTTAAAATGATCATTAACTACAAAATGCTCATTTTTTTTTTTCTATTTAGAGACCCTGCAATAATACCCACCAAGGTCTATATCATCCTGTTGTTTTTCTCTTTTCATATTCACAAACTGCTATTATATTTTGATCAGTCTGATCCACAATGTTCTTCATTCAACCAATTTCCTTCTTGATCAGTACCTTTTTATTGTAATCCCAGTATCTTTTACCCATTCTTCTCCTAGGTACAGGTAATTAGTCTGGATAATACCTGAACTGGAAAGACATCAATCATCTGAGTGGAAAGAATATGGAAATTGGGGAGATGACACTGCTGCTTAAAAGAAATGTGATCATAGAAAAATTCCCCGAATCTTTTAAATTTTCCCTGTGTATGTAAAATTTAGATAATAACACCATGTGCTGGTGAGTTTTTGTCAAGTTGACACAAACTACAGTCAGCTGAGAGGAGGGAACTTCAAGTGAAGAATTTTCCAGATCAGATTAATCTTTGGGTGTGCCTATGAGGCATACTCTTTATTCTTAATGCTAATTGATTCCAGTGCTCATTGATGCAGGAGGGCCCAGTCCACTGTGGGCAGTACCATCCCTATGCAGGTTGCCCTGGCCTATACAAGAAAGGTAATTAGACAAATAACCCAGGGGAAGTGAGCCAGAAAGCAGCATTCCTCTGTGGACATTTTTCAGGTTCCTGTGTTGAGTTCCTGCCTTGGCTTCCCTCGAGAATAGACTGTAATCTGTATTATGAAACAAACTCTTTCCTTCCAAAATTAGCTTTGGTCAGTATTTTGTCAATGCACCAGAGAAAAGAAAATGGGAGTATACACATTACATGTATATCATTCACTCTTTTAGTCATTCAACAAATATTGACTGTATAGTAATTGTATGCCACTCACTATTTTACAGCCATAGAATATATCATTCTGGGGATAAACAACAATTTTAATAAATGACCTTGAGGTGTAGCTCATTGGTAGAGTATTTGTGGGTCACTCATAAGAACTTAGATTTGCTTCCCAACACAATAAAAAGAAAAAGAAGAAAATTAAAATATAAAAGATGCCTATATGTAGATGAGGAACAGGAGTGTGAACTGTTGTGTAGTGGGGTTGGGGAAGATGGTCTTGGTGTCTACAGATGAAGATTAGGTCGTTAAATTCCAATTCTGTGCCCCAGAGAACCAGTGCCACAGGTTTCTTCATGAATTACAAAGCACCAGTTTCATTATCTTGTATTCATAATCAGTATGAATTAAATATGATTTAAAATTTAAAAAGATAATTCATATAAAAGTGCTTCTTAATCACAGAAAATAGAAGTTTTTATTTCAAATTCAGATTCAGACTCATCAGGAAAATTTGAATAAAAGATTTTTTTTGCTACAGTTTGCTGAATGAAGAAAAAGTAAGGAGATAAACATTCAAGTGGAAATAAGAAATGTTAATTGGGGCTTTGTAGTGTGGTTAAGATATACATCAAGCCTCTGAATTTTGTAAAGAATAAAAGTTTGTTGTATCTGTATCTGCCCCCCCGCATTTCTCAGTTTAAATTTTTCTATATAGTGTAGTTTATGTTTATAGTATATGTAGAAGACAGAAATTAAGGCTAAATGACACTGGAGAATTTTTGACCCAACAATTCTTTGTGTTTGTGCTGCGCAACCATAACACCAAATTCCCATGTTTGGGGGCTTCAAATAAGGGCAGATATATATTTTACGGAAAATATTTAGACAGAAGAAGGTTGTGGTTAGAGTAACAAGGAACCAAATAGTGACACTGTGACAAATTACAACGAGAAAGAAGAAAGAGCCAATGGAATCCCCATAGCCTCAGATACGGAAGGAACATGCTCCTATCACCTGAGGCTCAGGGTTACCCACCTTAGATATAGCTTCTTTTGATGGTAAATACACAGTTCCATGCTGTAATGGATTAAGAAGTAAGCCTGGCTTTCTCCTGATGATTTACAAGAAAAAAATATGACACTTTCCTAAGTAAACCAGCTGCCCCAAGTTAGAAAATATGCAAACTTCAACAAAAGAAGCTTAATATTATGCTTAAGTCCTTTTTAAAGTTTATGTTAATTAAGAAGATGGGGGCTGGAGAGATGGCTCAGTGGTTAAGAGCACTGGCTACTCTTGCAGAGGACCTGGGTTCAGTTCCCAGGACCCACATGGCAGCTAACAACCATCAATGACTCCAGTTCCAAGGGAACTAACACCCTCTTTTGACGTCTGCTGTCACTGCAAGACACAGGCTCACTTGCATATATGCATGCAACACACTCAGACATATGAAATAAAAACAAATCAAAAAAAAAATTTTAAGAAGAAAATGTGCAAAATAATTCCTGATATCCTTGGACATTACAATTGTATATTTAATTTAATTAATTGCATTTTTTTAGAAGTAACCAATTTCATTTTTAAGAAAATGAGAGTGAATTTTTACTTAATGATTATCTTTTGAACTATAAGGTTCATCTCCATAAACATTTTTCTCTTCATTAAACTACAATTATTCATTCAATTATACTTTATTGTTTCTCTATGTGATTAAATTAAAATAAAAAAAAAAAATGCTGAGATAAAGCAGGAGGACATCCAAACATCCTTTTTAAAAAGGAAAAGAAAACAGCCTTGAATTTAGGGCATAAGTAGATATCAGCAAGGAGATAAGAAACAGCCTGTGCTGGGAGATGGGGGTTCTCATGCCCTGCCAAGAAGAGGAAAAATCCTATTTAACTAAAGTAGAAACTGCACCAACAGTGGCAGGGTTAGAATACCAGCCTGAATTTGGCCAACTTCTACACAGTATTGACTGTTTTAATTGAGATAAGAAATTCTGGGGCTGGAGAGTTGGCTCAACAGTTAAGAACACTGGCTGTTCTTGCAGAAGACCTAGGTTCAAATCCCAGCACCCACATGGCAGCTAACAACTGTCTATAACTCCAGTTCCAGGGAATCCAACAGCCTCTTCTGTCCTCCGTGGGCATTGCATGACACGGGTGCACTTATGTACATGCAGGCAATACACGCATATACATGAAATAAAAATAATAAATACAATATTAAAAAAAGAAATCCTGGAACAAAAATTAGACTGGAGTTTTAAGATGCTTGATTTTAGTGATTTCACGTAATTTTATGTTTATTTGATGTGAGATGCTTCTTAGAATTAAGGTTTGGCTTATGGTGCAAAGATGTGGATTAGGCTAAATTTGAATTTCCAGAACCTGGCACTGTCTTTCCTACTTGCTTTATTTACTCTTCTTGAAATCATTTGAGGTTTGTGGGGAAAAGAAATGTAAAATACAGCACCATTTTCAGTAAGTGGACAAAGAGTGAGGTAGACAGTAAGCAGGAAAAGAAAGTCAAGCAAAAGACATATCAAAGGGAGTGTCAGCAAGCAAACAACTACCATGAGCGTCTATGCAATTTCCATGCCTTTTTATAGGGGAGAGCACAAACCAGTGTCCCACTACCACGAATTAGGCAGTCGAGCTTCCCACATTGGAGAAAAATCACAGGGGTCAGCACATCTGGAGTGCAATGGATAAGCTTCACCCTGAGAAACCCACCTTTGAGACCATGGTCTCTCCCCTTGTGGGTAAGTAAATATTTCCCACTCTAAGAGTAGATTCTATTAACAAAGCAGAAAGTAGAAATGAGATCAGTCCTAACATAAATGCCAGCTGCCAGCTGCTTTGAAGAACAGATGTTTTACTGGCCACGGAGATTTAGCAAAATTATCTGCTATAAAAGTAGATAAGAAGTTGACCCTATGTTGGCAAATCCTTTGGTCTTTGATTTCTTATTCCTGTTTTCCTCCCCTTAAACTTCATTGTATATATGTTTTTATGTAACCTGCTTCAAGTTATTTCTGTGAAAATGTGTTTAAAATTGCCTCTCTTTGGAATACTAATAATCAATATTCAAACAGTAAATTAGATAAGAGCTATCCTAACGACAAAACGGACAACATCCTCATCAATACTCCTACAGTAGATACCTCAGCTAGCGCTGCATGGTGCTCAGATAACTACTGTCAGTGGAAGCCAATATAATAATTTAGTAGTCAATTTCATAAAGCTGACTGTATGGCATACTTATTATATTTGTTTTTATTCAATGAAATTCATTTTAAAGTACAATATTATCCAGGGTAAAAACATTAGGTTATGAGCTCTGTATTTGATTGACTTTTTTGTCGGCACGTATGTCTAGGTCATCTGAGGCCTGCCTTATGTAGAGTCCTCAAATTTTTCAAATAAAATGACTTATATAAGATGCAAGAATGTGAATGAATTCTAGGTCATAATCAGGACTATAGAACATCTAATGTAGTGCTATATTTAATCAAATGATATTAGATTTACTGTCATGATACCACAAGCTATGTATCTGCTGGTATTTTTATTCATTTTTTATTAAAAATCTGTTGATTTAAGCAATATGTTAAGTTTTTCTAGTGTTAAGATGAAGTGCAAACTTTTGTTCTTTGACAGGATATGCAGGATGGAACATCCCTTCTCCCAGAGCTGATGATAAGGAAACAGGAAACAAACACATCTACTCCTTTACCACAAGTTATTATTTTTGTGTTTTTAGGTTCAAGTCCACATATCTCTGAACAGCCATGAAAGGGCTTCCTGGAAAACAAGACAAAACAAAACAAAATCCATGTTTCCCAACTCACATGGCTCTATTCTACCAGGGAGAGAAAGAGCCCACACTGGCAGATGCTGAAATTTTAAGAGTAGACGCAGTTTTGCAAAGTCATTGAACTCTGAGCTCACTTGCCATCCAAGGTTAGCCATGCAGGATGAAGATGGATATATCACCTTAAACATTAAACCTCGAAAGCCAGCTCTCACCTCAGGTAAGAAAGTGCACACCAGCAATTTGGAAATTAGAGACTAAGTCAATCTTATTGTCTGTCTTCTGTCTGTCTGTCCCCACTCTCTCTCTGTAGTGACAGAATGCATAACATTAGCTATGTTTTCTGAATGATATTCTTTCTCTGAAACACTTAAGAGGGACCTATATAGGCTTGCACAGGCAGCAAGGACAGAAGCCAGAGTGTTAATATTAGAACTATTGGAATGCAGTGCTGGGGGCACAGAAGCTAAGAGGATTCAGAGGAGGAAAGTTTGAAAACAGATTTCTAACAAATTTCTTGCCATTTTTAATTTCATTGACCATTAATGCAATAGGAATTAGGCATGACTAGTCACCAAATATTTTTGTTGCATTGACTCACTTAGAAATAATGATTTAAAAAAAAAAAAACCAAATTGTTCTAGGTGAATGGGTTTTGCAACTGAAATTTTTCTATTTTTTCTGTTTAAAACAATATAAGATCATTTTATTATGCTGTCATTTAACATATAAACTGTATTGCTCTACATAAAATAAAGTATGGCTTAATTGTTTTTAAATCCTTAAACCCTTAAACAATGTCTGTAGATACAATTTTCTATTAGTTGACTATGAAAGTGATTATCTATGTGGATGGGGTGCTAGAAAAGGGAAAATAATGAGGCCTTGAGAGCCAGTTACACTTTAGAACGGACAGAGAAAAATCTAGGGGGGACAGAGATGAGTATGTGGTACGGATTGGACAATTTTTACTGTAGATGGTCACCAAGGGGATGAAGGAAACTCTGCCACCAATGATGTTTTGATTTTTCAGAGTTTTGTTCATTTAAATTTTATTGGTGTGTGTGTGTGTGTGTGTGTGTGTGTGTGTGTATGTTTGTAGGTGCATGTGCCACAGTACACATATAGAAATCAGAGGACAATTTTAAGAATTCAGTTCTCTTCTCCCACTGTGGGTTCCAGGAGTCAAACTCAGGTCTTCAGATTTATGTGCAAATACTTTATTATTTATTTATTTATTTATTTATTTATTTATTATTTTTAATAACCACATGATTAGAAGAAGCATTTCATTACAGCTTTGACATACTCAGTAACAATTTCCAGAGCAAGGATACATCTCTTTCAAAAGTGGCTGTAAATTTTTAGGTTCACAATTGAATTAGTACAGTTATACTTTTACCCACTGAGCCATCTCACTGGCATGAGCTTCTTTGGGTTTTGAGACAGTCTTACGTAGTCCAGGCTGGCATTAAACTTGCTATGTAGCGAAAGCTGGCCTTGAACTCCTGACGCTCCTGCTTCCACTGCCCAAGTGCTAAGCTTGTAAGTATACACTCTGTGTTGCTTGCAATGCTGTTCGTAATACTTGGAAGACTCTGAGAAGGCAGAATGGCCTGACTGTCTTCTCTTCTGCATCTTTATTGTGTGCCCACAGTTGACACTGCTTCCTCTTCTTGGCGTGTGATGGCTTTAATCCTACTGGTCTTGTCCATGGGGCTGTTTGTCGGGCTCGTGGCTCTGGGAATCATGTGTAAGTATTGGCTGTTTGCCAGGGTTTTGACCTAAAGAAAGCAATACCTAAGATTTCCTGGTGCATCCCACTAAGCTTCTTAATTGCCTTGATGTGTCTATCTGCCAATACTCCAATTGTCCTGTACATGGCTGTCAATATAATCTCAGTAAGGGAAAACAGTAAAGAAGAAATTTCCCCTCTGATTGTAATCACTTCAAATTTTTTCTTTAGTTAAAATCACTTCCTACATTCATTACTGGCCTTTAAGCTCCTTCTCGGTATGGATCCAAGCTATCTTTTCACACTTTTCTTTCCTCTACCTGTCAGATAACCCCAAATTTTCATAAATCATAAATTTATGCTATGCCCCTGTCTGAACTGTTGCTCACTCTAGTTTGTCTGCCTGAAATGTCTTCCTCCCACTTTGTTTACTGAAACATTTTCTGTTCATGAAAATAAAACTGGAAGGCTTTACAAGGTCACGAGTCCTTTGAGTTGCTAATTTTGTTATTTTTGAAATATTTTAGAAGACTTTATTCATTATACTGTACTTATATAATAGCATAGTGTTTAAATCATAGTAAGAAATCCAATATGCATTCTTGAATAAATTAATAATTCAGTATTATATGGAGAACAGAAAAAATAAAAAAATAAGAACCCCGAGGTTGTTCACCCCTTCACCTTAGTGAAGTCTGCTGGAAACCCGTGTCCGATGAAATGACAATACACCACCCACTTTAGTCATGTGACTCGATCACAGGACTTTACTATTTGTGATTATCGCCTTCAAATATTGCACTTATTCTTTTATATAGCCCCGACTTTCTTCACTGTGTTCCCTCATCCTTTTTCAGCATTCAATGACTTTTTTGATACCAGATACTGGCAATTCTATGAACACGAAAGTATTGAAAAAAATCCTTACATCAACTTTATGGCCTTGAGAACAAAATGTAATTTATCTAATTTCTATTTCTAGATGTCACACAGCAAAATTACCTACTAGCAGAAAAGAAAAATCTCTCTGAAACTCTACAACAATTAACAAACAAGGCCTGCCAAGATTTAATAAAGCTGTCAGAATTGAAAACAAAGAGAAGCTTTGGTAAGTCTGGTTTGGAAACCTCCTCCTCTTCCCAAATCCTAGAGTACTTTTGTGATAGTAACTGAAGGGATGCTTTGGGGGCGGGAGAGCACGAGCGAGCTGCCTGTAGGGACACGCCAGCCAGAGCCAGGTTTTGCATTAAACGTTCCATATTGGGTTTCTCCTTCAGAACACACGTGCAGCCCCTGTGAGACTAAGTGGAGATACCATGGAGACAGTTGCTATGGGTTCTTCAGGCACAACCTGACTTGGGAAGAGAGCAAGCAGTACTGCGCTGAACAGAACGCAACTCTTGTAAAGACCGCCAGCCAGAGAACTGTGGTAAGGAGAGTCCCACGTCACAGGCTTGGGGATTAAGAGAAGGATCGCAAATGTAACATTTAACCTGCATCATTATTATTATCATTATTATTATTTTTTTTTTATTATTATTATTATTTTGCTTATTTTTCCAATTTGAGCTACTCTAAGAACGTTCAGTAAAAATGATAAAACTTAATATTCAATCCAGTCATTTAAAAGCATCTCTATAGTTTTGTCAATAAAACTGGTTTGTATTTGTACCTCCTAAGAGCTAAAGTACACAGTAAGTCAGACAGGAGAAGTCAGCTGTGTTGTTCCAACCACTGTTACTCTAACTTGTCACACTGTATGCTTATTCCTCTTCCTGAAAGCTCAGATTCATAAAGAAAAGTTTAAAAATTAAATAAGTTAGTTTTTCTTTCCATGGAGGCCAAATAAAGAATGCTTTAACTATTCAACTCCACTATAAAGAGATTAATCTGAGAACTATCAGAATAGGCCCTGAATATTATCACTCTAGGTTGATGCTAGTTGAAGATTTATAACATAAAAAAGGAGTAATGTAATTTTTGAGAAATAAATAAAAGTTGAATTTCAGGTATATCTATCAATTAAGTCCCAGAGTGAAGCATTTCTGCCCAGTGCGGATGTGTCTCTGTGTGGAAATATTTTAAAGAAAAGATCAGGAATTAGCAGAAAGCCAGGATGCTCACACTTGAGGAAAGTGAGACTCGCACATTGGCTCTGGCAGAATATTATTCTGGGTGTCACTTATCTGTCCACAAGCTCAAACCGGTTTTTGTTTTCCGGGAATGGATTCTTATCTGCTATTCTGGGATGCACAAGGGCAAAATGAATATTTGGCTTCCCTTTACTTTTGTTATCAAGAGATCGATTGCACAGTCATCCATTCGTCAATCAGTATGTCCCAGAACTATCCCAGGACATGAATCTATGTACCTAATAAGACGGAATAGTCCTTCACTTCCAGAAACTACCTCTAGTCACAGCAACAAACGAATGAGATCAGTATACATGACAATAGTGACCATTGCTAAGAAGAAAAATGTAAATTAGAGCCAGATATGGTAGTGCATGCTTATACAGTCCTCGCTGAGGCAGAAGGATCCCAAATTTGAGGCCAGCCTAGCCTACATAGCAGTAATCTAGAGACTGAAGTAAAGACTCAGCAGTTAAGAGCACCAGCTGCTCTGGCAGAGACCCAGGCTCAGTTCCCAGCACCCACATGGCAGCTGACAGCCATCAGTGACTCTAGTTCCAGGGGCTCTAATTCTCTCTCCTGGCCTCCATGGGCATGGTACACATGTGGTGCATGTACATACATGCAGGCAAAATACTCATAAACATAAGATAAAAATAAATAAAAATAATCTGTATAAAAGTAAAAAGAAAAGGTAGAAAAGAGTAAATCAGGAAAGGTAGATATGTTATTTATTAGCTCCTTTGATAAGGACGACATGTAGTTCTCTTGAGATAAATTAAGATTTCTCTGTATAAGAGAGTCTCTAAAATCCAAGAGCTTAATTTTAGGGACTATAAAGCTCACGAACAATGCATTTCTTCTTTCTTTCTGTACTTGTTTGACATTCACTCCATTTGTCTTAGAGGTAGAAGTCTATTGGAACTCAAATCTTCAGTTGATGGGAAATATAAGCATACATTATAAAGATCTAGATGACTAAAATGTAACCTACTTTATGCTATTTTTCCTGTGTTCTGTGAGGTTTTTTAATATCCTAAAACACCTTGGCATACAATTCTAAACCTGAAACATAACTCATCAGTATTCACATAGATATGTAATTCTATCCCAAGGTTTTATCGAGTCACTGTCATTACATATTACTGTGGAAGCATTTAACATTGTATTAACTTATGCTCACAACAGGAATACATCACAGACAGGACCAGTTCAATTCGTTGGATTGGATTATCCAGCCAGAATGCTAATAAACTCTGGACATGGGAAGATGGTTCAGTTCTTTCCAAGAATATGTAAGTCGCTGGACACTGAGAGCAGAAGACATTACTCAAAGCTTTTATTCTGACATCTTTCCTATAGAGTACAAGTTGCCTGAAAGCTGAGGTGTGTCTCCACATTCTACTGTGGTTGAACCAGCAGCAGGGGAATCACGTACACTCTACTCCTAAGCAGAGAGCACGGATAGGAAATTCTTCTTTCTCCTCTCTCCCATCCCCTTTATCTAGCCTATCATTTACCTCTATTCCCACTATTTTCCTTCATTCAAGGAAATTTCGAAGACTAGTTTACCTTTAGAACATTGTGTACGTGTGTGTTTAATTTGATCTGATACTTTTCACACATTTTGAGAATAAATTTATTATTTTTCATTATTTCTATGGTGGAAAACTATTACCATAAACATTATTTTCAGTATCTTTTGTGTCCAAAAATCAGTACACTGCAGATAACAAGGCAGTTCACTATTTCATATAATGAGGTTCTGCCTTTTTTTGTGTTGTTCCTATTTTATGTGTATAAGTATATTCCCTGTATGTATGTAAGTGCACCCATGTCCTGCAATACCTGCAGGGTCAGAAGAGGGTGTCAAATTCCCCTGGAACTGGAATTACAGATGGTTGTTAGCTGCCATGTGGGTGCTGGGAATCAAACCGGGGTCCTCTGCAAGAGCAGCCAGCGCTCTTAACTGCTGAGCCATCTCTCCAACCCCCATTATGACTCTTTAATCACTAATTTCAAAATGTTTGTTTATCTTGCACAAAACTGCACTCTCTCCATCTAGAACTTGTAACCAACACTTATATAATCCTATCGGTATTTAAGTAATTAAGTCAGCACATATCTATTAAATATTTACTTTGTGTAGGATCATAAGACATCACAGTTATATTCAAGCCTCCTGTAGACCTTGGCCTTTACCTGTGATCACTTGCTGCTTTGTTCACAATATTACAGGCAAAGCCGCTTTCTCTCTAGAGTCTATAAAGATCACTTCCTCAGTGAGATCAACTGCAGTTGCTCTAATGACATCACTTCCCTTCAGCACAGATCTACGCAGGCTATTGTCTCTTCACTGTTTCGTTTCTTCATAGTCCTGATTATTCTCTGACGTTTTCTTCTATGTAGGTTCACTGGAACATAAGTTCTCAAACAGATGAGACCTTGTCTTTCATTCTCACTAAATCGTTAAACAATTTTGACACATAGTTGGTGCCCCACAGATACCTGACAAATAAACTAAATGTATTTTTCTTGTCTCTCGTGATAAGCGGTCTATCAGGGGACACAGGCAGTTTACTGGAAATTACAACATAGTATGCTAGCATTGTCTGACACTGTAAATTCTCAGTTCTGAAATACTTAATCTCCTTTCTTTCCTTGAGCTTTTCCCCATCTCCTGCAGCTGCTGGCCCCCTAGGAATGTCCCACCTCTTCTCTGCTTCTGTAAAACCTACTCTGCTTTCAATACTAAACTGAGGTCTGAACTGTAGATAAAACCTTTGCTTGTCCTGTCAGTGTCCTGGGCCTTCTCTTCTGGACTCCTATTGTACTCAGTGTTGACTTGCTCCTTGACCTTGCTCTGTATTAAATTGTTACTGGGCTTTTCAGACCTTGTACTCTCAAGCTGACAGGAAGTTTCTCCAGGAGGAGAATGCTGTTTCTTTATTCTCTTCTAGCTGTCTCTAATTTGGACAACAAAACAGCAGACCTGGGGTTTCTTTGTTCACTTTTCAAAGGAGTGCCTTCTACCCTTTCATTTGCAGGATTGACCTTTCTGGGAACACAAGAGAAAATAAGAATTGTGCTTTTCTTCATAATGGGAAAATCCACTCAACTTCCTGTAAGGACAGACATTATTTAATGTGTGAGAGGAAGGCTGGTTTGGCAAAGTTGGACCAACTGCTTTAATGCAAAAAGATGGACAGGATGTCAGATAAGTGCTTGATTGTGCAATAAAAGATCTGTTTGAACAAATTCCCCAGCCACACAGTCGCTTATTTCATTTTTAAAATATTATCTGTACACCACTTGCCAGCCCCTTCTCTGAACATCAAGAAGCTATATGAGTTGATCATGAATTTTTCATTTGTTTCATTTTCCATTAATTTTCTCTTTGTGTCTTCCATTCTTAATTTTCTTAACATTCTATGAGCCACTACACCCTCAGATATACACATATAAAATTAAAATTAGGTTGATGTAGATTGTACAAAATATCTAAGTTGAAAAGGACAGCATGAGGTAATAAAAATAATAGAAAATTGAAATTGGAATCAGCAAAATAATTTAGATGGTATGATTCCCTTAACTAAAGCACAACCATGAAGCAATTGTGTAGGTTGCTTGACTTTCATTTTCTCATACTTAAAATATGATGCTGTTAGGGGATAAATAAAACAAAGTTTAATTATATATGTATGAAAATCCTAAAAGGAAAAGTAAAATATTACCTATTTTATGACTCACCAAAAAGAAACTTCAGAGTTTTATTTTACCTATAAAATATGTTTATTTTATATTATCTGTGTATTTTATATGCCTACTAGAAAACATCAGAGTACTATAACAGAAACTCCATGAAAACAATCCTACGACTTCACTATTTTAAGGCGAGCACCAAGTACAGTCCCTGGCAAAGTAAAGAAAAACATACGCTCTTTAGTGTGGGAGGTAGCTCGCTATTTCAAATTCATCTCTTCCTTAGGCTCAATACAGTCACTATCTATGAAATGGGAGGAATATAAGGTTTGCAAGAAACCTCATGGGCTTTGCGAAATGAGTGAACATTTCTTAACGAAACCGGAAAGCAGAAGAACAAGTAAAAGTATTTTATCCAGTTCTTTTCCTGACAGTTCTAAGTTTGGTGTTTGCTGAGTAACCCAGGAAGAAAGTATAGGGCCTGCAGAGAGGCGCTGTCACAGGATAAGAGCTAGAAGTTGCACTTCTTCCCCGCAGCATCCTTTGTTAACTAGTGAGAACAAAAACCGTGAACACACCCCTTAACCATCTCAGATGTGGTGCTCATTAACATATGGAAGACGCTGGAACACAAAGGCAGACGGAACTCAGAAGACTGAGGAGACTGAGGACTGTGGTGTTTTTAACAGGTACTCCACATGACTCTGATGCAAGCAGTTGTTTGTACCTTCCAATCAACATTACTTTAGAGCTTTCTCCCTATGTGGTTTGGTGACTAAATGAGTTAGTCTTTTTAACACTCAGTTTCCTCACCTATGAAATGATTTGATGACCTTATCTGGAAGACAATTGTGTGGATGGTTTGATATAATTGAATACAAAGTATTGATCAGAGCTTTAAGTATGTAATACTCAGTGGCTATGTACTACTGTATAGCTTTGTGCACTGACCCAAGGACACGTGAGTCTTTATCTTGTTTTATTTTAGACTGCTCATAAGCAGGTGGATTTAGAAGGTTGCATAAGAATAACAGAAATTCTTCAGATTCTGCTTGATTTCAAGTAACCAGAGATGTTGGCCTCAGGGGATGGAGTCTTGTTTCTTGTTCTTTTTCTTTGGAGCTGGGGATTCAGCAGGATTGAGCTTCTTATCTGTAGTTGCTTATCTACAGAAACCAAATAGGAGCTAATAATTCAGAAAGCTGTCCAAACATCAGCCATATCTCTGGTCTTTAGTGCTTTTCATCTCTTCAAAATGGGTTAGGATATATTTATGTATCACTACAACACACACAGATTTGGAGGAATCATATTTGAATGCTCAGCCAAACACAAATAAATGGTGAACAATCAAATTGTACCTACAGTTTCCTTTTTCTTAATACTCATGCCTAAAGCATATTATACATGAAACCAGCATAGCACAGATTCTACCATCAGTTTCAAACACTAAATGTGAAACTCTCTAAATGAACTTCAGCAAAATTTGACTTCTCAGTGCCTTAAGTTCTATGACCTTACAATATATTAATAGCATTTCTGTTTTATGGAACTGTTGTGAGAAAATAATGCCTGTTAAAGGTCTTTTGGAATGCAGTGAGCAATAAATAACAGTTAAGATGATTAAAAGTATTAACAACTGTACATGTAGCATATGAACCATTTGTTCACAGATACCAATAATGCCCCATAGACATTTATCAGAGAATGTACTGTATTCAGGAACACTGGCTCTATCCAGGCTTGACTGTTAGTGCTGATAAAATCTCAAGAGTGACTGGTGATGAACAACATTTTGGACTTTCTCTCATTATTATTTAGTATTAGGATTTCTTCCTCTTTTTTCTCCTTAAGGTAGAACTTAGTGTATGTGAAATGCTAACTGGAATTACGCTGCCCTGTTTTCAGATTAGAATCTCAGGGCACAGGAATGCAATAGGAAATGCTTGTAGAATGTTCTAGATATTTTTCATTTTGTCTCTAATGACCCTCTTAGTTTCTCCTTGTTTCTCAGGAGGCTAAGCGCAAATGAACACAATGTCTGGGCAAACGTGGCTTCTGGGATGCACAAGTCACCATGTGAGGCAGAACTCGGATTTCCCCACAGCACCTCGGTTTTCTGCACCACAACCTTCAGCACTAGTGAGGCAGACCACAAAGTCTGGTGAACAACCTCCACTGAGTCCTTTAGGCTGTAGAGTGATCTGAACTTTGCAACATGTATTTTATCACCCCCCCTTTGGCTCTCCTATTAACCTTTTCCAAAACTCCAGTCCTATTAGTTACATTACTTCTTGAGGGTTTCCTTCTCAAGGGGCTGTTATAGAGAACAACGGATCCAGCGAGACTCTAAAACAAAAAAGAACACTGTAATTTTGCAGATTATTTGGACTAGAAATTACTGAGATATGACCTTTGGGCACAAGGACAAGTGGCCAAGAGATGAGTGATGATCAAATTTCTCAATACAGTTCTGTAGTTACAGGACGTGACTGAAATTGCGATCTCTTCAGTAAATAATTCATTCCTCTTGAATGTGGAGTTATCTTTGAAAACTCATTGCTTTAGCAAAAATTCTATTTTTAGGCCCAACCTTCATATCCAACGTGGAAATACCATGGGCAAAGGTGGCTGTGAGCCACATCACTTCTAGGTTAGGGTTTTCCAGAAGTAAGTGTGGGTTTGTTACTTTCTTTTCCTCATTCCCATAAATAGAGGATTCCAGTGTCCCAGAAGATGGAAGATACTTTATTCCCATTTGGGAGAAAACATCCTACAAACTAAAGTTACTAGGAGCAATGCCATGTGAATGAGCTATAAACCCTTACAATGTTGACTGATATTTTGAGGTTTACTTATCTCAACAATCAGTATTACCCTAATGAATAGATTATAAATTAATTTAGGGATGAAAGTTCTTCCTAGTTTTCCTGTTTGAAAATCCAAAAACCATCTGCATGTTGGTTTGCCAAGATGGACTGTCTTTGTCTTTATTTCCTGAGTCATTCCTGTGCTTCGTGCCCAATGCTAAGTAGAGCTTCAGCGATTGTACTTCGTCTTCAACATCTGCTACCATTTGGAAATTAGAGCAGTTGTTTACTCTGTCCATGGCCATTTTGAATTAAGTACATTCCCATTTCCTTCTTTACTGAGTTACACTTCAGTTTAAACTTCATAAACTTCCACTTTCTGGAGGAAGTTATACCTGCCTTTCACCTTAAACCCAAATTTATTTTATAACTACTGTGAAAAAGTAGCTGATTTCAGTTCTTTCAACAACCTACTCTTAACCACAAGAAGAGTTATTCATGTCAGGCTCCTGTGTGGACAGCGCTGCTTATACAAACATCTTCAGCATGCACGAGGAAGAAATATACACCTCGCTTCAGTGGGACAACCCAGCCTCAAAAGCTTCTCAGAAATGTCTGACTCCCATCAAGTACTCAGGTAATCAGTTCTAATTACTTAGAGGAAAGCTAGAATTTTTTTTTTAATCCACACTTTATGATGAATTCAAGATGTTTTTCTTTTTTTCTAATCTGAGATAATCTATTCAGAGTTTTAGCATGTCTGATATGCTCAGTGACATTAAGCAGTAAAGATGAAAAGGCAAAAGGGCACTGGGTTTGTCTCTCTCGCTCTCTCTCTCTCTCTCTCTCTCTCTCTCTCTCTCTCTCTCTCTCCCCGCCCCATCTTTCTGTATAATTCTTAAAAAACAAGGGAAACCAGGCAATTTTAATTATTTTAGATTTTTCAAAAATGCTCAGCAGATTATCTAAGATACTAAGAAATAAAATATGAACAAGAACTGGAAAGGTTTCCTCTTGGTGAAGCTCTCTGTTATGATGAGCAGTTATGCTTCCATTTTTAAATATGTTTCCACATCTGTTGCTGATTTAAAAAGTTTTAAGCTCTATAGTGCAAAATATTCTCAAAGAGATCAGTTTTCATGTATTATTACTCCACTTTCATAATTCATCTACTGAATATAACATGTAATATAACACAAGAAATTTTATTGAGGGGCTTTAGGAGTGTTTTGTTATATTTTTCCAAGCAATCACATTGTTTAGTTTTTGGTCCTCAATTATTACAAATTAATTAATTAATTAAAGCTAGCTTCCCCACCTCAGATTTCTAATTTAGTGGTGCTTACAACATCTCTTTTACCATTTAAAGCACCATCTACAGGTTCTGAGGATGAGCACAAGAGGCATTATTTGGTCTACTACAATATTGAAGGATACATTTTATTTTTCTTTGATTAGTGTTAAGAACATAACAAGCCATATCACTCATTTGTTTATTTTCAATTAATTGTAATTTAATGAATCATGTTGAAGTAACATTGTACAGAGATGAGAGATCTTTGATTTCAAGAATTCAAGGTTGCTTGGCTTGTATTAATCCTGAGATTGCTGAAAAAGTATAGATAATAGCTAGATATAATTTGTTATTAAGTTTGTAACATTATGCATAAGAATCAGAGAGGTATCCTATTAAATCTACTTAATTTGATATTTTATAAATCAGATGCATCCCAAGTTATGTTTCACTTGAGAGTCTTAACTTTTTAAAAATTTATTTTTATTTTATGTGTATGAGTGTTCTGCTTGCATGTATCTGAGTGCACCACATGTGTGCAATGCCCACAGAGTCCAGAAAAAGGAATTGGGTCCCCTGAAACTGTTGGTAGTTGCCATGTGGAGGTGCTGAGAACTGAATCTGTGTCCTCTGCAAGCTCAGCAAATGCTCTTAACCACTGAGCCATCTCTCCAGCCCTTCATTTGAGAGACTCTAAGCAAAGATTCTCCTTTTTCTATTACACAAAATTGCAGTTTCAAGCATCAACATTTCTCCAGTAGGAATTCCTAGTGTCAACTCCTTCTTCCACTCAACCTGACCTCCTCTCTACCCTATCGCTTCACATACTTTCTTGAGCTCATTTCATTTTCCTGATTCCATGTTTAGGAACATGGTGTGTGGTGACAGTGATTTCCTGTGTTTTCTGTGTGGCCTTACTAGCAACATCCATTTTCTTGGGCATCAAATGTAAGTACAAAGAATATCTTCAAAATAATCTGTTTACATAAATGGGTTTTGAACGACACATAACTGTATCGTTATATAAAAAGTTTGCAGTTGTAATGGATGAAGAAATCAGTTAAGAATTATTTGAATGCATATAAATGATATAAGACAAATTCCTAATTTAAATTATATGAAGAGGCATTTCACACATACATGAGAGAAGACTCCAGTAAAATTAGTCACATCAAAGAATGCAATGAATTAATTAAAAAAAAACCCTCCTAGAACCACTATTAATGATGTAGAGGTATAGTTATGTTTCCCATGAAGGCAGAAGATTCACAAACCATTTATAAGAATATATAGTTTTCTAAAAATATATGCATATATATATTGTACGTATGTATAGGAAAGGATTTCAGAAGTTAAGACTGAATAGTAACACCATTGCCTACTTCTAAGGTAAGTAGACTGACAGCTCTCTCCTTACTATTTTATATTTCTGGTTTTCTTTCATGGCTTATGCTAAGTAGGTTTTAATTTCAACACTTCATAGTGCAAAATATTTCCAAGGAAGTCAATCAGCTTGTAATGTGTTTTCACTGTTTGCTTTCATTTTAAGCCAATTCATTTCTTAGGTATAATATGTAGCACCGTATTCCAAATGGTTTTCTTTGGGAGCTTTAGAAGGGTTCTGTTTTATTTTTCCAGATAATTACATTGTTCAACCATTTCTAACTTGCTGCAAATTAATTACAATTTCAACAGGAACAAAGGGGAAGCATTTTGCTTCCAATGTAGGATGAAACTCCAAAGAGAAGGCTCATTTCCCTTTCTCTGTGGGCAGTGCACGACACAGGTGCACTTACATACATGCAGACAATACACTCATACACTTAAAATGAAAAATAATAAAGTATTTTTAAAAAAATAGAAAAAATTCATTCTCTAAGTGTTCACAGACTTTTTAAGCTTGACATCAAATGACTTACTAATAAAAGGAAAAATTGATAAGCTGCACCTACCTCAACGTAAAAAGGCATTATTAAGTGAATAAAAACACGTGATAGATCACGGAAATACTTGCAAACCACATACCCACTAATATACTTAAACCTAGAGTATATAAGAACATTCCAATTTTATCAGGAATAAACAAAACTATTCATCTATAAAATAGAAAATGACAGGAAAGCACATTTTTCCAAAGAAGATAACAAGGTGTAATCATGAAAACAGGTGTTCAATGATCATTAGTCAAGTAAGAAAATGCAAGCTAAAATCACAGTAAGCTGTAACCACAGAAAGCTAAAAATAAAAACCAGTAACAAAGGACTGGAGAGATGGCTCAGTGGTTAAGAGCACTGGCTGCTCTTGCACAGAACTCAAATTCAGTTCCCAACACCTACATGGTGCCTAACAACCATTTGTAACTCCAGTTTAAGGGAATTTGATGCCCTCTTCTGGACTCTAGGGGCGTAAAACATACACATAAATTTAAAATAAATAAATTTAAAAATATTTTTAACATGAAACATGAAATGCTGAATGCTTCTGAGAAGTTGAATCACTAATACATCTCTGGCAGGAATGTAATACAGTACAGTAAAACACTGTTATCAGTTCTAAATAAATAAATTAGAAAATAAATAAATAAATAACTAGCCTTTTTACACCCAGCAATTGTACTCTTGAACTTATAACTCAGAAAAATGAAAACTTATGTTCACTAAAACCTGAACACACCTGTGTATTGCAACTTTATTTGTAAAAGCTAAACAAGAAAACTAACGAGCTGTCCTTTGGTGGGTGAATAGTTAAATAAGTATTGTAATTCATATCAAGAAATCTCTTCAATATTAAAAATAGACTTAGCTATTGATTTATACAGTGATCCAGATGACTCTCCAGTAAAGTGTCCTGAGTGAAAAAATACAAAGATGTTATATGGTGTCAGATCCTGCTTATGCAGCATCATTACAATGACAAAATTGTTGACCTAGAATTCAAGTTAGTGTTAAAGAGCAATAAGGGCAGGGAGGGGATGGAAAACTTCCCCAAAGGGCAACGTGATGGATGCACACAGTGATGGAGAACAGTGTGTCTTGGTTATATCAATACTTCAATCCTAGTTGTGACATTAAACTGTAACTCTGCAAGATTTCCATTCTTGGGTTGACATCAAGCAATGAGTTGATGGAATTTTTTTTATTATTTCTTACAGCTGCATATGAAACCACAATTGTCTCTAAATAAAATTCTTGTTAAAAAATAAAAAAAGGAATGTTCTCTGTTATAAGAGATATTCACTAGACTGTGGAGATGCCTTATTGTATGAATGTGTGCATGAACTACCAGTCTGATACATGTAGATGTGTGCCATTTATGCATTTTTATGCTTTAGCAAACTGCAGCAGCAGTGACTTTCTACCCATTCTGGGAGTTTAATATATCTACTCAACTGAAGAATAAGTCAAGGGCTGGGGATTTATCTCAGTGGTAGATTGCTTGCCTGACAATCACAAGGTTCTGGGTTTAATACCTAGCAATGAAAAATAAATAAATAAAAGCTAGTGAACTAGAAGATAAAGCAGAAGTAATATACAGAATTTAAAAACAGAGTTGTGATACATAACAGCAAAATACAGAAAGCAGAGGAAAAGTACACACATGAGAAAGATTAGGGTGTGTCTTCTGGAGGCTAATTTTGTCCACTTGATTAGCTGAGATGCATACAGAATAGTAAAGCATACCATGAGTGTTTCTGTAAAGCTGTTTCTAGAAGGGATCAACTAAGTGGTGTGGTGTACACTCACCCTGAATATGGGAAACACCATAAGATAGGCTGAGAGCCTGGATGGGGAAGACAGGAGAGCCTTCTAGTGAAGGCACCCTCTCTAGTTGCTTCCTGGGTGCGGTGATGTGAACTGCTCTGCTCCACCCTGCTCTCCCCTCCACTGTGAACAGAAACTTCTGAAACTAACAAATCTTTTCTCTCTTAGGTAGTTTCTGTAAAGTATCTTGTTACTCCAATGAAAAAGTCTAATATCTGTATGTAAACCCAGAAGTAGAATGGAAGAGTTGGACAAAAATAGTATCACGGGATTTTTGGGGTAAAAGTGTTCCAAAGTTGATTAAAAACATTAAGCTGGCTCCAGGTTTAAGAAATATATCAGAACCAAAAAAGATAAAGAAAAATAATAATCATACTAGAAAAACATTTAATAAAGTAGGAATGGGTAGACACTTTACAATATAACTTTTTTAAAATAATTAGCTTAATAAGTCAGTCAACATTATGTAAAAGAGATAAAAAATAGCATGAAATTAGCAGATCCCAGAATTAACTATGAAGCTAAAATAATTGAGGCCATGTCATGCTGACATATGAATAAGTAAGGAGATGGATTGAATATGATTAAAGCAGAAATAAATCCAAGCAGTTCATTAGAAATTTATAGCAGCTAAAACTAGCAATCAGAAAAGTATGAGATGGGAGCGATTCTGTAAATAACAGAAGATGACTGTGTAGAGAACTAGGGAAAATGCTGAAGTCATTCCCTACAGTTACAACAAAATTCATTCAAAATATGCCAAAATATAATTGTAAAAGTATGAGACTATAGTTCACATGAATTCTTACTAAAAATAATCAAAAATATTGTTTCTATGTACATTAATTACCACAAACCAACCCAAATGACAAACAGGGAAAGGATAAGTCATAGCTTAGACCTTATCAAAACCTACCTTTATTTAAAGCCTGTGCATAAGCCAGTTCCCCGTAGGGTTGGCTGCTGCCAGAGACTCACAGGAGCCATTATTACAAGATAATAATATGACTTAATGACAGCATTGAAGTCAGGATACTATCAGCAAAGTTTCTCATCAGAGGGGCCTGGAGGGAGCCAGGAGTGATGGTTTAGGCACTCTGGGAGATTCTAGAACTTTGAGAGATAAAGGCAGGAGGATCAGGAGCTCAAGGTCATTCATAGTTGCATAACAAATCGAGGTCAGCCTGGGATACATTTGATCCTGTCTAAAGAAAACTGGGAGGAAAGGGGTTGGAAGCACTGGAGAGGGAGGCATAGGCGCCTACCTTTTACTGACCCTGGTTCACTAGGAAACAATTTTCTGTTGGTTCAGAAATTACTTTACATAGGGTACTGATATCAAGGAGCTCAAAATAGTCTTGCCTAGGGATTTCTGTTTTGCTGATCACGAAGGCAAAATTTTCCTGAGGTTATGCAACCTGCCTCAGCAAGTGTCTCTCAGGGTCTCATTATAGCCAGGAGAAAATCATCTATCATCCTGTCATCAATAAACAATGTTGACAAGCCAGTCAGGTTCTGGTTCCCAAGTTCTCAAACCCACAGTTACAAAGCTACACAGAGCTAGTGTGTGTCATGCCTTGTATGAAGGTCAGTGCCACATGTTACATCCCCAAGCACTGCTCAGGCTGATTTCAGGCTGGCTAGTTAACTCTCAGAGCACAATAAAACAAAAGAAAGTACTAGAAAGCCAATGGGGGATTTGGAGTTTATAACAGATGTAATTATATATTTAATAGAAAAGAAAACGCATCCAACTTATCCACATCTGTGAAAAGAATTTCAAGCTCAAACACAGAAAGTTGTAAATTCAAAACATCTTGAAACACTATATGCAACAGACATGAAAGTGATTTGGAAATATCTGAGGAAACTTAAATATCCACAAACTTTGGGCTATCCACTTATCTTAAAAATATCTTTTAGATGTGCCAGGTGTGGTGGCGCACGCCTTTAATCCCAGCAATCAGAAGGCAGAGGCAGGCAGATCTCTGTGAGATCAAGGTCAGCCTGGTCTACATAGTGAGTTCAGGTCAGCTGGGACTACAGGGAGACCCTGTCTCAAAAAGACCCCCCCTTAAAAAAATCTTTCATGTGTATAAAATGAGATAAGACTAAGATTCTTCTATGTGTATGTATGTGTGTATGCATATATATGCATGTGCTTGAGCCTGTTCATGTGGGTGTGGCTACACATGTGTGGAGGACAGACAGACAACAAGCTTGGGTGTTATTCCTCAGGAGTCATTTACCTTGTTTATTGGGACATGGCTTTTTATTGACCTACAGTTTGTCAAGTAGGCTGGGCTGGACAGCCAGGACACTCCATGGATCTGCTTGCCTCCACTTCTCCAACTTTGGGGTTACAAATGCACACTATCATGCTCATCTTTTTAAAAAAAAAACTATTTTATTATTTTTATTTTATGTGTATGAGTGTATTGCCTACAGGTAGGTAAGGGCACCCATGTCGTGCAATGTTGCAGAGGACAGAAAAGGCTGTCGGATCCCCTGGAACTGGAGTTAGGGACAGTTGTTAGCTGCCATGTGGGTGCTGGGATTCGAACCCTTGTCTTCTGCAAGAACAACCAGTGTTCTTAACTGCTGAGCCATCTCTCCAGTCCCATGCTCAACTTTTAAAATATAGTTTATAATTTTTATTTTATTTATGTGTATGAGGGTATTGCCTGCATGTATGTAAATACACCCGAGTCATGCAATGCCTGCGGAGGTAAGAAAAGGGCATCAGATCTCCTGCAACTGGAGTTACAGAAGTTGTTAGCCACCTTGTGGGTGCTGGGATTCGGACCTGGGTCCTCTGCAAGAGCAACCAGTGCTCTTAACCGCTGAGCCATCTCTCCAGCCCCCCATGCTCAAACTCAGATCCTCATACTTGCACAGCAAGCACTTTATTAATGGAGCTATCTCTGCAGTCCCAAGACTAGGTTCTTTATACAATTTTTTTTTTTCTGTTATACAAAAAGACTACTAACAATCTAAGAATAAAGATCAGTCATAGAAGCCTTACCTAGCATGCAGGAGACTCTAGGTTCAATTTCTAGTACGGAAAAAAAAAATAAACAAATCAACCAATTAATTATTTTTTTAAATGACAATGAAGAACCTCTAAAGGAAATCATGATTCTTCCTATTCTGTTATAGTGAAAGACAGAAGGAAATCTTTTGTATACTGACAGGGCTAAGGATTAAACTATACTTAAGCAATAAACTCAAATATATAGTGCCATGCTATCAGCCTGTGCACAAAGAAGAGAAAGAGAATTTTCTACCTATTGATTTTTTAATTAAAAATATCTCTGGAAAAAGTTTTAGGAAGAACTTAATAAATCTATCTGCTCCTGCAGGGAAGGCATGAGACTAGATGAGCACAGGGATGGAATGTGAATGGCCAAGAGCCTTTTTGCTTTGTGCCCCTTGAACAATGTAAACTTTAAATTAAACTTGAAGCAAAGCATGTCAGTCTTAAAAATAATCCTCATTTATAGTTTTGTTTGGGTTTTGTGTGGGATAACTTTGTGGTAATGTCAGTGTTTGATGCTCAGCACATGCCTCCGCACAGTCTTCCAGGTGTCTGCTCTTGCAATGAAGCAGCAGGAGATGCTCATCCAGCAGGATAAGGCATTGCAGAACTTCACACAGTGGCAGGGAAACCACACTCTGCAGATGAAACACTGCCAAGCCGTGGTGCAGAGCTCTCCACAGTCAGGTAATTGGTACAGAATCAGTGTGATTTTGGTTTGGTTTGCTTTGTTTTGCTTGTAACATATAGCCTAGGTTGGCCAGAAACTCATGATGGAAACTCATGATGTAACACAGGCCAGCCTCCAACTTGGGGTTCTCTTGCCTCAGCTTTCTAATAGCTAGGATGACAAACACGGGCCATCATGCCCGCTGACTGTTCTCAACGGAGATCCAAATATACATGTCAACTCTTCGAAAGAAACAATGCCATATAGTTTGTTCTCTGTGAAATTGTTAAGGTTGTCTTAGACCAAATATTGAGACAGGTTAGAAAGAGAAAAGTATGGGGTGCATGTGGTGGCATAAATGAGGAACGTCCTCCATAATCTCCAAGTATATGAATACCGGGCCAAGGTTAATGGCTGTTTGCAGAGGTTTAGGAAGTGTGGCCTTGCTGGAGAAGGCAAGCTTTGTTTTTAGCCTTGTCCACTTCCAGTCTGTCTCTCTCTGTTTCCTGTGTCTGCTTGAAGGTGTGATCACTCAGGCCTCTGCTCCAGCAGCCTCCTGCCATGCCTCCACCAGCATGATGGACTTTTATCCCTCTGGAACTATAAGCCAAATAAAGTCTTCCTCCTATAAGTTGCCTTGGTTGGGGGCTGGAGAGATGGCTCAGTGGTTAAGAACACTGGTTGTTCTTGCAGAAGACCCAGGTTCGAATCCCAGCACCACATGGGAGCTAACAACTGTCCATAACTCCAGTTCCAGGGGATCCAGTGGCCTCTTCTGTCCTCCGTGGGCATTGCACAGCATGGGTGCACTTACCTACATGCAGGCAATACACGCATACATTTAAAAAAAATTTATTAAAAAAAAAAAGTTGCCTTGGCCATGGTCATTTATCACAGCAACAGAAAGTAACTACCACAGAATAAGAAAAGAGAGAGGCATCTGGCTGAAGCCCCTCACTAGTAGAGAAGCAAGACTTCCAGCACAACTAACAACTGTTTCAAGCTTTCCTCCCTTCACAGCTGAAAACCTACATTTTTCTAGGATTCTCACCAGAAGCCCCTTTGCAGGGAAAGGGCATGTGCCAATCCCCTTGTGCATCCTTAGTGGCTCTTGGTTTTTATTTAATAAGATTATAATTCCATTCATGGCATCTCCAGAGCCCCCCTCTAATCTCACTCATCAACAGAGAGAAGGAGAAAAATGAAAATATTTTGTAGCAATGTTTTGAGCTGTAATTTGAAAGCCACCAAAATGGTCTATGAGGCTAAAGCTGGAACAATTAATTATAACTCTCCCTTGAGGAGCCTGTACCCACACTTGAGTATGTCTGTCTCCTGGACTCTCTCTTAGGGAAGTCCATACTTTCAAGTGGGTCTTGCTTTATTCTGACCACTCTCTTTCTCCTAATCCACGTGCTTGAAATCTGTATTAAATCATCTTTACTAAATCTCCATCTCTGTTTCATATTGCCTAGCTCTGAAATTCTTTTCTGTGTCAAGGCCAAGAATCCCCATGTAGCTATAAGTCTAAATCCTTGAAAGATTAGGAGACTACCTCAGGCTGCGGAAGGTGACATTGTGGAGCTGTCTCTGTCCTCTCACCGCTGACAGGTGTGGCAAAATTTTAGCTGCTCTGCAGTTCAGTCTTTTCTACATTTTCCAAAATAATGTGGAAGAAATTGAAGTTCCAAAAAGGGTTCAGCTAAACAAGCTACAGAGCAAGATAAAGGGGAATGTATGGGATCCATAAGTTAAACTTTTAAAAGCAACAGTACATTTTAAGCTATTACTCAAATTTATGCCTGTCTTCAATTTTGGCCCCAAATTGTCCAATTCCTTTAGTTTAGCTATTGATTGAGACTCAAATATAGATAACTGAGCATGAAATTGATCTTGAAAATGAGCCTGTTTACCACAGAATTATTTTAACATGCGGTGCTCACCTTCTTTTAAGAATTTTATAAGGTTAATTTGGTTTTATCTTTCATGAGTATTATTAAAAGATTCCCAGCACACACATGGCAACTACAAACCATCCTAAACTCCAGTTCCAGGGGAATCCGAAGCCCTCTTCTGACATCTGCAGCATTGCAGGACAGGGGTACACTCACATACATACATGCAGGCAATACATTCGTACACATAAGATAAAAATAATAAATAAAATATTTTTAAAACGTATAACAGTATTACTATGTGTTTTACAGCTTGTCAATATTCTATGGTGAGTTAATTAGCATTTAATAATATGCAGGCATGTAATTTAAAAAATTAAATTCTCTATAGAAGATCCCATGTAAATATTGAGTTGTGTAAAAAAATCTACATAGTACCTTTCCTAAATATTTAATTTTCATCTATGTGTCTGTGCATACATATATGAATGTGAATGCAGGTGAAGAAGGGCAGGGATATCAGATCCCCCTGGAACAGGAGTTACAGGTGGTTGTGAGCACCCAATGTGGGTGCTGGGAACCTAACTCCAGTCCTCTGCAAAACCACTCTTTGTTCTTACCCACTGAGCCATCTCTCCAGCCCCCCATAGTTTCTTCTGACAAAAAAATTAATCAAGGATATGTTTACAGAGTCACTGAGGGTCAACACTTCTCTTACACACAGCAAATTATTGCAAGCCCACCTCTGAGCCAACAACCTTGAATTCAGTGGGTATCCATTTTGCAGATCTGCAAATCTAGCATGTTCACCACCCTCTCAAATACCACCTTCACCACTAACTCTTTCATGACTTCAACAGTGTTCAGTATGCTACTTAGCAGTGATTCCAAACACAGGATATTGAAAAGTCTTTAAAGGACTCAGTGTTTGAGCAGTGGAAATTACTTACGAAGTATTTTTCTTTAAATGGAGGGCTACTCACTAGTAACTTGTACTGTAGAAATTTCTATATCCCCTTCCATAAAATTATGCTAGAACTTCTTGGCCTAATCCTTGATGTTTGGCTCCCCTGTATGCAATTATCTACTATTCTTTCGTGAGTATATTCTTTCTTAAGACATATTACCTAAAACATTAGATATTAAAGCCTGATTCTTACTTATAGCCAGTCCTAAATTAGGTGTATTTTTTCTTTATGTACTCTAGTTTTCCTCAACTAACTACTTGTTTTCAAATCACAATTTTTGTGTATTAATTGATTTCTCCATTATATATGAAATATTTCTTGTTTAAGTCTCAAAATTAAAATATCAACTCGGGGCTTACTACTCAGCCTATTTAATGACTCGTTACATTGCCAGCGACATGGGGCAGTGTTTAGTTATTTTTCTGTTTCTCTGATAAAACACTGTGGTCACGGGAACTTAGAGAAGGAAAATTGGGATTAGAGTCCGTACTGGCAGGGCTGTCATGGCAGCAGAGGTGGCTGAAGCAGAGAGCAGAGACAGCACATCTTCAAGCAGGCACAGAAGCAAAGAGTGACTGCAAATCTAGCAAAGCTTAAAAAGTCTGAAAACCCACCCCAATCATCTGTTTCTTCAAGGATGTCCACATCTTCTAAGACCTCCCAAAACAGCACCACCAACTGGGGATAAAATGTCCAAATATGGGGCTGGAGAGATGGCTCAGCGGTTAAGAACACTGGTTGTTCTTGCAGAAGACCAGGTTTGAATCCCAGCACCCACATGGCAGCTAACAACTGTCCATAGCTCCAGTTCCAGGAGATCCGACAGCCTCTTCTCACCTCTGGGGGCATTGCACGACACGGGTGCACTTACCTACATGCAGGCAATACACATATACACATAAAATTAAAATAAATTAATTAATTTTAAAAAATGTCCAAATACTTGGAGTCTAGGAGGGCCATTCTCATTCAAACCACCACAGGCAGTATGATTAGCAGACACAAAACAGTAAGGAAACAAATAAGGACTGAAAATGGTATAAATTCAAGGAAAGTCTGGTAAAACTTGAAAAATCAGATCAATTTTAATGCAGGAGGAAAGCTTTGGGTGAAAATGTCTCCACATTAATTTAACTCAAACTAATTATCAGAGAGTTATTTCAGGTGGAAATTATATAAATTTTATTTTACTCAAGCTCAGAGAAACTGAGCTTGGTGAGTACAGCATCATGGGTGCCATTTGGTTATTTTGGGCAGATGTGATGCCAATTTTGTGCAATGATGATAATAAAGAAAATGTTTATATTTTAAAGGCAATAACTGCAGCCCTTGTCCACAGAACTGGATTCAGAATGGAGAAAGTTGCTACTATGTATTTGAATCTTGGAGAATTTGGAACAATGGTAAAGAGGGTTGTTTAATGGAGGACTCCAGTCTCCTACAAATAGACAGCAAAGAAGAAATGGTAAATAGTTTTATGATCTCACATCATTCTGAAAATGTTACACTACTTATTAAAACAAAGTACAGATTCCCATAAGAGGATTTCTTAATTTTCCATAACAGTGGTATACTTTTGAAAATAAAAATTTAAAGTAGTGATTAGTATGATTTATTTTCCTTTTAATGATACATGTGAAAATAAAGCCAATTTTCCAGGAATCAAGGAGAATGGTTAATGTGCTTAGTTGATAAAGGAGAGAGGGAGGGAGGGAGGGACAGGAGACCTCATCTTGGATGTGCTAAACCACTCCAGCATGCATGCACATAGCAACTGTAAGTGATCTTCAACGCTATTGGAAAGAAGATTGTTGATAATAATCATCATCTACAAGGAAAACAGAAGTGTGAAAACTGAAGTCCTGTTCTGGGTGCAGTGGTACGGCCTGTAACCTACCACACAGAAGGCTGGGACAGGAAGATCTTGAGTTAGAGGTCAGTTTAGTATTCATAGTGAGACCCTGGGAAGAAAGAAAGGAAGGAAGGAAGGGAAGGAGGGAGGGAGGGAGGGAGGGAAGGGTGGAAGGAGGGAGGGAAGGAGGGAGGGATGGAAGGAGGGAGGGAAGGAGGGAGGGATGGAAGGAGGGAGGGACGGAAGGAGGGAGGGATGGAAGCAGGGAGGGATGGAGAGAGGGAGGGAGGGATGGAAGGAGGGAAGAAAGGAGGGAGGGAAGGAAGGGAAGGAGGGAGGGAAGGAAGGGAAGGAGGGAGGGAAGGAAGGAGGGAGGGAGGGAAGGAAGGAGGGAGGGAAGGAACAGAGAGAGAAAGAAAGGGAAAGAGAAAGAAAGGCAAAACAAAAAATCCCAAGCAATCAATCAAACCTAAAGTAATGTGTTGAAATGAATAGGTTTAATGAAAATGTATTTTATAAATGAATGGTAAGTTTACTAACCTAGTTTACTGAGACCTTAGTAAATGTACAATAAGATGTCTCCTGAATTCAACCCTTAAATATGTCTGAAATGGAATTCATTATTAGACGGTTCTCACCTTATTAAAAATGTCTACCATGTTCACTAATGAGCTTATATAAGAAAAATAGGGAAAATGTTAAGATAGCCAGTAAACCAAGAAGACAAACTAAATTACTCCAGTTGTTCACAAAATTGCTTTCTATAAAAATCTGATGGCAAAAGTAGAAATGTTTCATCTGATAAAACGCACTTACATTATGTTGTATCTGGGATCTCCACAATTACTTCCCATATTGAAGCATACTAGGAACAAATGACCCAAATGTGTGATATCAAGAAATTTTATCCTTCTGATGAAGGATCAATATAACCCTTACCTTGTTTTGACACATACTATCTGCCCGACTCTGAATCTGTTAAAACTTTAATACTAGATGCTTATATTTTCTGTAGTTTTTTTTTTAACACACCACACTGACTATATAGCAAAAGAATCTACAGTATTTATTCCCACTTATTTTTAATATCCTCTCTTTTCCTTCAGCACTCAAGTTCTCATTAATTTCTGACTGGGCAAAACATTAAACTTTGTACGTCACGGTAGTTGTGCTTGTTATTTTTTTCTCCATTTATAGTTTGTGTCTTGTATCTTGCAGAGTTTCATCACCTACAGCTTACAGAAGTTCAAAGGGGGCTTTGACTACTGGGTAGGAATGTCTCAGGATGGGCTTGGTGGACCTTGGCTTTGGCAAAATGGATCTTCCCCTCCCTCTGACCTGTAAGTCTACATGAGGAAGACATTACAAGAAAAACTAAGAAGGAACATGAAGATCTTATAAAAAGTTTATTTTATACCTTGTATTTCTCCCAGAAGACACAGTATCATAATTTTACAGGCTCCTGATTAGAAGTAAATCTAATAGAATCAAGAGTTATCATCATGGCTTCTAAGTCTCCTTCATCCTCCCTGCTGACTTTACCCTCAAGAAAATTCCCATCATAATTTGAGTGTGTGCATAGGCAATATAATGTGAGGATCAAGAACATTCTTTGTATCACTTGATGCTTAGAGAGCCTTCTGTTAAAAGACTAATAATTATTGAGCAAATTCCATATTAAGCTTTTCAGGTGGAATTAGAGATTGGTGACAGAACCAAGTGCCTTAGTATTTTGAGTGGTGAGAAAGGAGAAATATAGCAGCTATAATCTATCTTGGTATAAACATGCCTTGGTTTTCTTCATAAACCATTCAGATGATATTAATACACTTTTGCTGAGACAGAGTAAATGCTATCTGAAGAAAAACGGATAAAGCCACCACAGAAGGGTGCCACATTAAAACAACTTAAAGTAAAGCCAAAGTATCTCTGAAGATTTTCCTGTCAAGCACCACTGTCATCCTCAAATCTAACCTCATATGTGCTGATTTACTTTTCCAGGTTGCCAACAGAGAGGCACCAGTCAACTAACCAGCTCTGTGGCTACCTCAAAAACCATTCCCTCTTCTCAGCCAACTGCAACGCTAGTAAATATTTTATCTGCGAGAAGAATGCATTCAAATCCTGTATCTGAAAGAAATTGGTCATATCCGTCTCTACTATACCAGTATTTGAAAGAAGCAATTGGAAAACCTTTCACAAGAACAGATGCAGAGGGAAATCGGCCTGTGGGCTGGGAGCACAAACTTGTTTTTACATTCACACTTGGCAATATTCTTTTCCAGATTTCAGCTGACATTGTCCAATGTACCAAGGATAAAATTGGTCTAGAGCTACAGAGGACCTGACTTATTGAAAACAAACTGTATAAATTATTTCCTCTTCGCTTGGAAATCTAAAGTGACCACACATGTACCACACAGAGATCTAGCAGTTGTTGTGGGAGGTGATGCCGTTATCCCTGCATTTTTTGTCTAAATAAATAAATTTGGCCTATTATAATTACATCTACAGGTCTTTTTTAAGATCAGCTTCCAGGCATTATGCGTTATTGGATTCATAAAGTGAGAGGAGAGAGACGGATTTCCAAACTGTAATTTTACTAATCAGCTGGCCGGGGTCCTTTGGCTCTCTGCAGACAGACATCATGAGCTGCCTACATTTCCAGTGCTAGCAGTCCTGGTCCTTTGGGGCCAAGGCCTGGGGGTTGGTTTCATAGATATAGATGCTTACAGTTCCAAATTCTGGGAGCTAGGGGTCCATTGCTCAGGTTGGAGGTTTATTGCTCTGTGCTTTAATCACAAGTGGTCCCAGCATTTGGCAGCTGTTAGAGTTCTTGGCTTGCAGAAGCAGCAGCAGCAGCAGCATCAACAGGCAGCTCCTGATAGTGTTATAGCTCTTGAGGGGCTTTTGGGCAATGGGGTAACTCAACTCCACAGTGATTAATATTACAGTTTTTTGGCCTTGAATGCGGAGCCCTCAGCTTTTGATGGTTGTTAGTACTCCAGCTTTCAAGCCTAGGTTGTCTGTGACCATTGGCTCCTGAAGACTGGCTGTTCCATGGAACTCTTGAGAAGCCCAGTTTCTCTTCTCTGGTTTGTCACAGTCTTCTTTTACTCACCTTGGTCCTCTGCCTTCTCTCATATACTAACGCACTGCCCCACATTGTCTGTTCCCCTGTGTGTCTTTTCCTGTCTGCCCTGGCCACTCTTGGAAACCCTTCAGCTGCTCTCTTGCCTGTTGTTACGGCCATAGAGACTGCCGTCTTCTCCAGGGAGGCAGCTTCTGTCTCATCTTGCTTCTGCCATTGCTCCTACTCCATTTCTGCGTCCACATCTTCCCGTCATGTTATCAGCTCGTTCCATTCTTCCAATGATAAAGATTAGAAGTAGATCAGAAAAGACCATTCATGAAAAGTCTTTTGTTTATCCTCATGTTCCAACATCAGGTGTATCATAGGAAAGTGTCTCCCGGCTGACTCTAAAACTGAACCAAACAACTTATTTAATGGACAAAAAGGGATTTTGCAAAGACATTCTTAACAGTCCCAGCAATTCTACAAGGACTGCATGTGTACAGTCCACAGCAGACTCTCATGCAAATGAAGGATGGTGTTTACACCAGTCACAGGCTTCCTGTTGGGCCACAGGTGGGAAGTGCACCTCCTCTGGCAGAGTGAGGATAGCTACAGGATAAGAAAGGCCATGTGCAGTTTGCAAGACTTGTCTGGCTTTCCACAGGCAGTTCAGCCTATCCAGAGCAGTCACAACTGGAACATGTCTTCAACCTTGGATGTAGTCATCTTCTGTAGCTACTGGAGCATCTTCAGAGTAAGGTGCCCAAGCTGTAGGACTGCCCTGAAGGCAGTCTAACCAGTGGCTAGTAAAGAGGCTACTTGCTGACAGCTTTCATCACCCACAGAAAGTATTAAAAGTGTGTTTATAAAGACAATAAAATCCAATGCATTACAATTTT